AAAAGTAAAAATAAAAATATTTTAAATTATTATAGTTATAACAAGGCGCTTTTTTTTTACTTATTAAAAAGCCAGGGCAGCGCTTAAAAAAGCTTTTTTTTTAGTTATAATAAAAAAAAATAACTTTTTATTTAGTAAAAAGTTTAATAAATTTAAAAATTTATAAAACTATAAACTATACTATAATTTATACTTTTATACTAAGTATTATTAAAGCACTACCTTTTCCCTTTTAATTATAAATAAATATTATATTTTATTTAAAGCGCTATAAATAATAAGAATAAGACACTAAATTTAATATATTAAATAATACTTTAATAAAGTTAAAAATAGTAATAATAAAGCTATATTTAATATTAATATTAATAATAATAGTAGCATTTTATTATTATTTTTTTTTAATTTAGCGGCGGGTCGCGGACAACCCTTTAATTAAAAAAAAAAAAATTATTAAAGTTAATATTTTTTTATTTAATATTACTAAAGTTAATACACTATTAATTTAAAGTTAGTATTTTAGGTAACCTAAGCTTTAGCCTTAGGCTGTTAAGGCTTAGCATACCTTACTATTATATTAAGTTATATAACTTAACTAGGTTATTAATATTTAGGGTTTTAGTTACTAATTAAGCAAGGCTAGGGTAGGCCCTAAGTATAAGCTAGAATAAAAACCTATGCGTAAAGTATTTAAACCTATATTTACTTTTTAATTAAAAATAGCTTAAGCGTAGCTTAAAGGTTTATAAAAATAGCCTTAAGGCCAGCCTTTTTCCTAGATCTCCAAGCAACTCTTTTAATATTATTTAACAAGGTTTAGAATACTCCATTCTTATTGGTTAGATTCCTTTGTCAATATCTTTATTATTAGTAAAGATCTTCGAGACTTGTCAGTCTTACACTATAATATAAGATATTAATAAAAATATAGGGATAAATACCTGCAAAGCTAACCCTAAAAGTTATTAGGCGCGAGAAGTAAGGTTTTAAGTGCTAGATTAATAGGAATATCCATGTAATCCGCGTAGTATGCGGCTTGTGCGGCCTTGGCTAGCTCTAGTTAACTATAGCCGGGATTTTGTGACACATCTTGGTACGGTTCCACCTGTATTGAATTGTCCTCCAGTGCTTCCCCTGCAGTCTCGCGACCGCATCATACGGCATCATGTTTGCATGTTCACCAGCAAATGAGACGTGCCCGCCACAGGGCTTGACCTCGGCGCCATCCAATGTTTGCCCGGCGGTCAGGCACTCGTGCATGCCTTGTGCTTGTGCATTTCTTGGTCATGCGCTGTAACGTATAATTATACGTGCATGTTATACCCAGGGTAGGGTTGTGATTTTGGCGGCCTGGTCGACTTCCAAATCATGCTATGCAGGCACAGAGCCTTCATTTCGGTTTGCATGATTGCCAGATTTCGTCCTGCAGACTTTTCCCAGCAGGTCGGCAGTTCAGTGATGTTCGCGCCCGGACTGTTGCCGTCTTGACTGCGTAGTGTCTTCCGGACGCCAGCTGGAGCTGGAATGTCGCGATCTTTCATGCCCACCACAGTCATCTCAGACGGGAAGAGGTCAAATCTATATGCTTCCCTCCTGATTCTCCGCGATATATCGCCCAGAAATCGGTCCCTCTCGACGAGTTAGCATCTGTTTTCATTCCACGTGAGTTTCGCCGAGCCAGCAATGGCTTCCCCGAATAGCCGGACATACAACCGCGAGAGATTGTAAAAACGCACGCAGTTCCAACATCTTCTTTCGTCCGATAGCCCCTGGCCCTTTCCTCGCTGAATAATGAGCCTCGTCAAGTTCGGAATCTGGTCAGAACGTCCAGAACAAACCCTCGGCCGACGCCTATATAGTCGACAGACAGACAATCGGCGTCTTCAGGACCTGCGAGCTAGAGGACAAGACAAATTCGTCAATATCCCAGTTCAGCGTAGCATCTGCGCACGATTAGTCCTTCTTTGATTGTTGATACCGTGTCAAAAGTACCATACAAACAAGTCAACCTTAAGATGTACCGTAACCTCTCTGATCTCGCCCCAGCCATCAAACGTCTTCACAAAAAACCCCTCGTCGGCCGGATATTGCTCTCTTCCTGGGTTTAGGGTGACATCGGTCCCGCTGGTATGGATGCAAGTCCCCCCGCCTCGTTGTTTAATCTGCGCCAATTCTAACCCTCCGCCGAGGGGAAATGGTCAGCACTGATGGCGGAGGGGGGGTAGGTTATTCAAAGCGACTTCGTCCGCAATAGACTCTCTCTGTCCGTGATAAGGCCGAGAGCTTGATCTCTGGGTATTGCAATTTGAAGATAACTGCGTCGGAAGTGTCGCGGACGAGGAGTGTGACCGTGCGTCTTGCATCTTGCATCTTGCGTGTGAAGCCTCAGGTCTTGCCATGGCATGTATCACCCCATTTCAAACACGATGGTAAAAAGGCAAAACCAAAAGCAAAAACGCCGCTGCGTCAACACTATCCAGCAGCGTAATAAGCCGCGCCCACATGGCCAGCAGCAGCAAGAGAAGCGGCAAGTCGACGAAACAACGGACTGAAGTAGAAGGTGCGGTACAGGACTAACTTTCAATTCTAGTATTGGAACTTCATGTCGGAGTAGTTCAGAAATGCTGGTATCGTAGCCGGGTGAGCCTTCTCCGTTCGCTCGAAAACAAGTGGTAAGAAGGATATCGACGTCCTCCTGGGGCTCGCAAAGTTAGCACGTATAACACTCCGCTGAACGATACAGCTGCAGACGAGAGGAACGGGCATAGCATACTTTGCGCTGTTCGGGTATCTCGATAGATCACCTCACAGCCAAACCACATATGAATACGGCTTTCAAATGCCACGTGGGAGAATACGAGCGATGGGAAGGAGTGGCCAGAAAGGGTGCACTCTGGGAGTGAGTGCATATGACAAAGCAGAGTATCATAGTCAGACATCGTAGTCAAGGCACACCAGTGAAGGTAGAGCTACAAGGCATAGGAAATCTATGGACGGTCAGCAATCGATCGCCACATACAGCATACAAAACTAGAAAGACCAAGTAAGCAACGGCAAAAAGAGAGCAGGGAATAGGGGAATAATAGGAAAGCAAATGGCAATGAGTGGGCCCTGCACAAAAAGGAAAGGAGTAGGAAAGGAAAAGAACAAGAGCTCTCTATGGTACCTACCTAGGGTACTACCTCTCAAAGCTCGTAATCCTGCATCTCGCTCTCCGACTTGCGATAGTTCTTGCGATCGACCAGCGGCCCAGCTCACCATTCGCAGCAAGTCCATCGCGAAAATGCCAACCCCCCTCCCAGATCCTCGGGCTACACTTAGGCGGAATCCAACAATTCAGGATATCCCACGCGAGCTGGAACCTAGGCCCAGCCGCTTGACGTTGGAACGCATGAGGATGAAGTGAGGGCCATTTGTAGCTGGGATGCTGGTCCTCACCTGCAGGTCAGGGAGCCGTCAGAGGAGTGAGGGCTGGGAGTGCAGGTCCCGGGGAGAGAACAAACCTGGTGGATTCCAGGCGGCAGTGGGCGCCAGGCACGGGTGGTGGTGCTCTTGCCCAGGAGTATGTATGGCCGCATCGTTGGCGACCCGGTCGGAATTGAGCTCTTTGCGCGTCTGGTTGGACACACGGTTTGCCCGGCCTTGACAAGGGCACCCTAGCTGTGGTGGCATGCACGCAGGGGTCTTAGGTAACGAAGTCGACTTCTCTCGTGGCCTCGCGACCGCCAGCCAGAGTTAGGGCTAGCCAGCCGAAGAGCACGTTGGGGTCATGGCTTTGTCGAGGTGCAAGGCAACGTCGGTCGCAATTGTCTTGGAAACGCGTGGGACGTCCATGGTGGTGAGAATTGAAGAATGAAGCTTTTCGAATTGGAAGGAGCCTGGGGAGGATATCGATTGATGTTCAGAACGGCCCAAGAGAAGGCTAGACATTGCGGTTATCCCGGAGGTTTATGAATCTCTCGGCATGGCCACACTGTATTTGATACTGCATGGCCGCATTGCATTTGATACTGGCATGGCCTTTCTTCTTCAATCCTATTGCTCGCCCTGTTGTTGAATGCAAGGACCCAACCCCCTCCAGAACAAACAAGACCACATCGGAAGTCTGGTTCGCGTCAAGGTCATTCTTGCACCGGTCTCGACAATGCTGGATTCTCCTTTCTTTCTCCATCGAATCTGTCTCTCTGACTTACAAGGAGCCAGCTATAGCCTGCGATATCACAGGTGAGGGATGAGACAATGACAGCGTACTCAAAGTCGTGGACAGGTTCATGGACGCCTCGTGCAACTCGAATCTCGCGAAGAGGAAGCATCCTCAACGAATGACGAGCAATCCAACTCACCCAGTGGCCTCATTTCAGGCTAAGATAGGCGTATTATTCTAATGCTACGTCCTGGTTACCATTAGTATATTGGATCTATAATGATATAAGCACGCCCAAACCCTAACTCGCCCACCGCGAACCACCCAAGGCAAAATCTGCCGAGATCACAACGCTTACTACAGAGTTTATCACTCGTTACGCAATACTCCGCGGTTTGTCGGCTATATCTTCCCGATCCCTTGACGCGACAGGATCGGGCACCGGGGATGTCAGATGTGGCGTGCCGCGTCTGCAGCCCATCTGACGTGTGCTGCAATGCTGATTTTTTTCACTGGGCGCTTGAATCTTCTTAAGTCCTTATAGGTCTTTGGGGATTAATGACGCCTGCGTCTGACATGACCATGCGTGATATGTGTGATACGATACATCAGGTCGATCTATCCCACGCCACCCTGGGGCACATGCGCTGAGCTCGAACTGGCGACGGCGTGTTTGCTTCAGCTTTCAGCCTTCAGCACGGCGTACCGTAAGACGTGAGTAAACGATGCCTCAGATTGACGGGGGTCTTGATGCTTATATACTTAATCCTGCCCATGGATCAATCCAACGGTCCAACCTATCCACCAGCCCCAATTCCCATCGACCCCAACATCCCATCCTCCTCCGAATAGCACAATGGGCTCCCTCTCCCCCTCCCCAAGCAGCCAAGACTCAAGCGCAACAATCCTCTCCCTAACAGACCAAATCCGGCTCGCCGCGCTGTCCGAAGCCGAAGCCGAAGCCAAAGCCGACACATCCTCGCATCCCAATCCAGAAACCCACGCCCACCTCCTCTCCCTCCTCGACACCCTCCGCCTAACCATCGAAACGCCCGCCGAAACAGCGCGACGAATCATCTACCAGCCGCCGCAGAACGCCGCGCTCCGCGTCCTCCTCGACCTGCGCGTGTTCGAGCTGCTGATGGAACACGCCGACGAAGACGAAGACGGGGTGTCGGTGCAGGAGATTGTGCAGCGCACGGGGGCGGAGGGGGCGCTTGTTGGTTTGTCTACCTACCCTGCGAACCGCTGCCCTATGCGTGGATAGGTGCCTGGCGGATGTGGGTGTCGCTGTCGCTGTCGCTGGCGGGATTATGCTTATGCTTATGCTTATGCTTATGCTAACGAGTGCGCAGTCCGCCTCATGCGCGTCGCGGTAGCGCTGGGCCTGGCGTCCCAATCCCAATCCCAATGCATTTCCAATTCCAATTCCAATTCCAATTCGCCAGGACGGTACGGCTACGGCTACGTGTACAGACGCACCAGCAAAACGCCCATCATGACAAGCCCGCTCGGCCGGGACGGGGGCATGGTCCTCTACGACCTGACGATGCCAACCCTGGCTTCCCTCCCATCCTACTTCAGCGCCCACGCGTATAACGTCCCAACCGAGGCCTCCTGCCCCATGCGCTGGACAACAGGGCAAAGCCAGTTCGAGTGGCTGGGCGCGAGGCCCGCGCAGCAGGAACGGTTTAATGCGTATATGGGTGCTAGGCGTATGGGGAGTCGTGCGTGGTTCGAGGTCTTTCCGGTCCAGAAGGTCTTTGGGGATTTGGGCTTGGGGGATCGGGATGGGAAGTGGAAGAAGACAGTTGGGACTGGGAAGGATCAGGGTCGTGATGACGGGGAGGGTGGAGGAGAGAGTGAAGGTGAAGGGGATGTGTTTATTGTTGATATCGGCGGAAACGAGGGCCATGATCTGGTAGCGTTGCGGAAACGGTACCCGGGTCTTCGCGGACGACTGGTATTGCAGGATCTGCCGGCTGTTGTTCAAGGCAAAGACACGGAGTTGGATAGGTATGGGATCGAGGTGATGGGGTATAACTTCTTCGAGCCGCAGCCTGTTAGAGGTCCGTACACCCCCTCCCCTCCCCTCCCGGGGCATTCTCCCATCCCACTACCCTACTCTACTAACACCATCCGACCCCACCCAGGCGCACGGATCTACTACCTCCGCTCAATCCTGCACGACTGGCCCGACGCCACATGTCTGAAAATCCTGCGCAACATAATCCCCGCAATGAGCCCATCCTCGCGTCTCATCCTCGTCGAGTTTGTGCTCCCGGACACGCACACGCCGCTGTTCCAGGCTGCGCTGGATGTCCAGATGATGTGTCTTGGGGCCGGGGGTGAGCGGTCCAGAGCCCAGTGGGAGATGCTTTTGGGGGAGGCTGGGCTGGAGATTCAGGGGGTTTGGGGGGGTGGTGGGGGGGAGAGGGTTATTGAGGTTGGGCTTGCTGATGCTGCTGATGGTAAGGGGGGGAGGATGGGTAGAGGTGAGGATGGGGATGATTGAGGGGATGCACTTGCTAGGGTTTGTTGGGTTGTGGAGTTTTCTAGGGCTTTTCGGGGTTAGGGTTGCGGGAATGCGTTGGGATGGCATGGAGAACGTGGATGTGGACGATGGACGATGGACGATGGATCAGATTAGACACAGCATGCTATAACCATTCCTTTCCCCGGATTGGGCCAGAGAGGATAGGGGTAGGGAGTTAGTATAATATGCACGCTTTCCTCGGTGTGTGATTCCAAAATTGAGGTATCTATACATGAAGTGACGGAGATAATGACTTTATCCTGTACAGGCCCAACTCAAACGGCCGGGGACGAGGAGTACGATCACATACATCACTGCATCGGACACCCCTGATCCCTCCCCATAGCATGCACCTCCCTCTCCAGCTCACCAGCCGACACCGGAATCCCCTCAAGCTCCATCCTCCTCGCAACATCCGCCATATCCGGCATCGCTCCCCGCGGCGCCCGGATCATCGACTCGACGATGATCGCCTGCCGCGTCTGCCCGCGCCCCCGCAGGGACCGCGCATACTGGAACATCATCCAGATGCGAAGCGAGGTTTGGTCGGAATCGAGGGGCGGAGGGGGTGCGCTGCTGGTACTAGAACCAGTACCAGTGGCTGTGTTTGTGTTTGTGGTCGTGTCTGCTTGCTGCGCTGTGCTCGTGGCAGTTGCACTCGCACTCGACGACGGCCAAACACGCCCCTCAAGCCTCGCCCTAACGTACCCCATCATCTCGTTCATCAGAACCCCCCGAATTCCGTTATGGACCCGCCACGCCTTAGTCACAAGCGGGACTAGCGGCCCCGCGTAGACGTTATCCGGGTGGTCGAGGGCAAGGGGCCACAGGTCCTCGAGGATGGCGCACTGCGACGCAAGCATGCCGAAGAGGTCGCCCCAGAGCAGACTCCCGAGGACGCGGAGCTGGCCGAAGAAGCCGGGTGTTTCGTCGGGGCGGTCGGGGCCTTCGGCGGGATCAAAGTCCGGGTCGATGGCGAGGATGAAGCCTGTGAAGTCGCCGGGCGGGATGTCTGGGCTGCAGGGGGTGTAGGTTTTGCTGGTGTAGGAGGTGTAGCTTGCTAAGTCCACGGCGAGGAAGGCGCGACGGTTTATGGAGGAGATTAGGGTTAGGGGGGTGGATGAGTCGGAGTCGGAGGACTCAGAGTCTTCGGGGGGCTGCGGAGACTCTACGTCTTCGCCTTCGGAATCCGGGTACGTGTCGAGATAGTGTCTGGTAGTGAGTCAGTCAGTGATGTCTTTATAAGATGATGGCGGCGTACTTCTTCGCAGCTTCAATACCCCCCTCCGGAATCCCCAACTCCTTCCCATCCCGCCACTCCAGCATCAAATGCGGCTTTAGAACCGCGGACCCCGTCTGCCCCCGTCCCCAGTCTGAAACGTGTGCCTCAAACTTCTCCCGGAACGCACTCCACTCCGCCTCGCTCTGCCCGTACGTCAGCCGATAGATAACGAACCCAACCCGGCTTGTCTCCGTCTTGATCGAGCGCATGACATCCGGAATCCACGGCTCCTTCGGCACCGGCTCAACGGGGTCTCCGCGGATCTCCCTTCGCGCGCGAGCCTGACACCCAAGCTGCACGCGGGTCGTGCGCTGGAACTCAACGGGGTCAGCGACATGGTGCACTCGCGGCCCCTCGCGCTCCCGTCGTTCCAGCGTCTGTTGGATCATCTGCCCGCGCGTGAGGCTCTTCATGTACGGGCCATACGCCTCATTCCGGACATCCCATTTCGGCGAGCGCAGCGTGGGCAGAACGCCGCTTGGAATCGGCGGCGTCGTGTACCCGTAGTACCCATGCATCGGCAGCATAATCGTATAATCAGCCACGCCTGCAATCTCCGCCAGGATATGCAGCCGGTCGGTGAGCCGCCACTGCACACTATCGACCTCGTCCAGGTTAGCCGGGCGATACGTCGTGAGGTCGCGGATTAGCGGCTCGCGGAGGGTATTCACGTGGACCAAGACCCAGCGATGGGCGCGCTCGGTGATGACCTCGAAATGTGCCTGGATGAACTCGGTCCATAGCTTCCGTATTCCCACGGGTCTGCCCTCACGACGCGAGTTGACAAACGCCTCGAACTCGCCCCAGTGCTGAGAAATCAGGTTGAACGTGTCGCGCATGTTATCCTGCACGCGCGGGCGGTTGAGGTACTCGAATACCGCAACCACGGCGGACAGATACTGCGCCGCGATATCGAAGTTATCCGGGCGGTCGAGGCCCTTCTCTTTCCAGCGCTGCTCGGAGAGAGGGATCATCCCTGCCCATAACCGGTTCTTGACGGACCAGATATTGCGGCCGACAACGCACATCCGCGCGTCGTCCTCCAGTGACCCGATCCTGCTCATGATCCGGTCCATGAAGTGGAAGGGACTTTCATCTGTTTCTGGTTTCTGCTCTAGCAGGGATAGCTCCTTGCCCTTGAGGAGTTCCAGCGACGTCGTCTTGCCGTTTGGGAGGGTCCCCTCGCAGCAGAAGGAGAGGAAATGGGCTATTGTTTGGGGCTCGATGAGGCGGTCGACTGGACTGGTCAGCGTGATTCTACTTGACTGGGTTTACCCACCGAGAGAGAGATCCTGGTTAGCATTGTGGACGTGTGTGATGGCGAGCTGTCCGGCGGCATCCATGTGTTTGTAGATCGGGGTCTGGCGTCTTGGAGCCATTGTAGGCCTCTGAACAGATGAGTCTGGACGATTGTGATGAAGCCGAGCTCATAGGACGCAATGAACGAGACTCGATCGCAATTCCAGGTTTGAGAAGAGAAAAGAGCTTTAAGAAATTGTCGCTACATAAAGGAGCGCCAAGAGACCGGTTCCAGGCCAGGCCAGGGCAATTACCCATGGTATTGGCGAATCTACACAGCGAGTGGAGAGCCTGCTGAGCGCTTGGAGCCGCCGGTGCTGCCTGCCTGGTTCGTGCTGCCTGGTGCCCTGTGCCCTGTCCAGGGCTCGGTGCTGGCTGCCTTTCGCTGGGACATCCATCTTCTCCGATCAGTGCTTTGAGCTGGCTCTTGTTTCCAGCACTCTGATGGGTTGTGGATGAGCGAAAGTGAGAGCGAGAGTTCGTTCGCCGACCCAGTCAAGGTGTCACGTGCCGTGCATTTGCGCTGAGTAAGGACTGTGCATAAATCTGTTATGCTCACCAACCACGCCCTAATATACGGCAGTAGGAGCCTCAGATGATGTTCCGCAGGGGCTTTGGTCTCATCTGACGGCTTTTGATCATGCGGTAACATAGACTGTAAAGTGTGGCTTTCTCTCTTTGCGTTCGATATATGTCATATAGAGTCCGAAAGCTGCAGCTGTTCTAAGCCCTAAGCTTCCCTAGACCATGTACGACCTCCAATCTTGGTTTATCCAGCTTGCTGAGATGTCTATAGAAATGGGGATGCAGCAGCCTTCTAGATAATCCCCTCGCTCTTTTGGGATTGCAGAGCACGATGTCAGAGAGTCCTACTTGTTGTCGGCACATCGTGGGTTGCGCCTTCCCTGTACGGCCTGCGCTCCTTTACGCGTATCAAGGAAGGAACCAGGCCTGCCCACCCTGCATCTGCTCTTGGGCTTCAAGCTTGCGAGACAATCCTCTTCCAAATATCTTATACGCAAGCTGCATCGTACCCCTCGTTTAGCTTCCACGATTGCAGCGTCATTTCATCGAACACGCAAAGTATCATCTATCCTTAACCCTCAAAGCACTTGACCTGCCAACTCCCCACCAGTAAACTCTCGCAGACCGTCCTATCCAACTCCTGTCCGCATCAAATACACCATGGACCCCAACACCCCCTCCAACAACGCAAGCGCACCCATCCCCACCCACATCGGGGACGACACGGACGACATGCTCCACCTATACATCCGCGCCCAGCACGACTTATACCTCGCCCTCAGACGCCTCCCCGTCCTCTCCGAAGCATTGCACGAGCGCCTCGTCGAGCAACAAGGGCGTCTTCGCCACTGGGCTAGGCAAACCCTGGTCTCGCGACACTGCCCAAATGGAATCGGTCTTGCCGACCGGCTGCTGCGCGTCGGCGTTACGGAGGATAATGTGTGCGCTATCCTGCTGCGGCTTCTCGAGTTGATCGAAGACAACTTCACTCCACGGCGGTTTTCTACGCCGGTGACTACGGTTGAAGTTGAGGCGGAGGAATTGGAGCGTTTGAGCTTGAACGGGGAGGGGGGTTTGACGAATGGTGCAAGCGGAGATGGGCACGAAGACCGCCACGATCAGGACGTCGTGGATGATCAAGATGTCGAAGAGGGAGAGATTGTCCTCGACATCCCAGCGCGATCGGATTCGCCAACTCCGGCTTTCCCTGCGCCTGTCCCTGTTCCGCCGATTCCGCCTAGAGCGCCGGAGAGAGAGTTCGTGGTGAGGCATTGGTCGAGCCAACACGCAGAGCAGGGCGGCAGTGGAGCGTCGGGTGTGCATGGTGGGCACGGACATGGTCAGGATGGAGGACCAGCGGAGAGTGAGGCTCAAGCTGGAGGTCTACCGCATCCTTCCCTTCCACCTCCGCCAATTCCCCCGAGGGCGCCGGGGCGATGGGTTGTACCCAGGCGCGTGCATTGGCAGGACCAGGGGAATGGAGAGCAGGTGGCGAATGGAGTGTCTGTGAATGGTGGACACGGCGTGAATGGTGGACATGGCGAGGACGGACCTCACAGTTCAGATAGTTCGGACGATGGGCCAGGTCCAAATGAAGGATCAGCTCTCAACGGTACCCTCAACACGGACGGAGTCCTGGGCCAAAATGGGATATCGACTCTGAATGGTGCAGATGATGATGACGGAGCCCAGGGTCCAACTTCGAATGGCGATCAAGCGCCGGTTCCAGACGAGACAGACGGAGAGACCGCATCTTTAGACCCTTCTTTAGACTCGTGGTTGAGTGTGATCGAGGAGATGTCAGAGAGATCGTCTGTCGACAATGTCCGCGCCATGGACGACGCTGCCTGCGACAAGATCGACGAGGCCATTGATCTGCTCTACACGCTTTGTCGGGTTTCGGGGGGGCCGGTCAATGGCGTGGGCAGCGCTATTGGATCTGATACGGCTTGACTTTGAGGATATTATTGTTGTATAGCGTTAGCATATCTGCTAGTTCAGGATGTTAGGGTTGAGACCAGGACCACTTTGGCACTTTGTTTCGGATGCAGCTATTGCTTGAGATCAATATCTTTATTAGCTAGGTTACAATTGCATTTTGACTCATTGGGCTATCCAACATACTCAGTCAGTGATAGGCCATGTCCATATCGGCAACACCGCAGCCCAGCTAATACATATCAAACCCCCTCCAGCCTCTCCCCAAGCACAAGCACAACCCTCTCCCAGAACTCGCCCCGAAACACCTCATCATCCCACCTCGCAACCGCCACATCCACACTCGTCCCAAACGTCCCATGCAAACACCGCACCATCACCCCCCACACCTCCTCCACCACCAGCCCCCGACTATCCTCAACCCACATCTCCGCGATCCGCGCCCGGCCCCAGAAATCACTGTCCACACTCAGCGGCGCAAGGATCTCGTTGCAGTACCAGGTGAATGTGCGGGTGTGCCAAATCTCAAGGAGCAGGATTGTGAACGCCAGCAGGGATTTTCGGGCGGGGGGTGGGGAGGGGGCCGAGGCGTTGAAGAAGTCGTGCAGGATTAGGGGGTTCGGGGTGGAGGTGGAGAGGCTCCCTGTTGATGCAAATGCGGATGCGGATGCGGATCCGGATCCGGAGCCAGCCGTGCCGGGGCGGAGGCCTGTTGGTGTGTTTGAGCTTGTCCGGCTATGTGTGGCTGTTGAGGAACCGCCTTTCGTTTTAGTAAAGCTTGCTGCGTTCTCCTTCGTAAACCAGATCGTCTCCGAGGTTAGGGGGCGCGAACTCGGAAGCCACGGCGTCGGGGAAAGCTGGAGGATGGAACACGCCAGTAAAAACGACAGCCGGAGTTTCAGCGGCGTGCTCCAGGACCCCGGCGCCGTGTTCTGGATGATGCTGTGCAGGGTCGTCAGGTCGGATGTCGGACATGGCGCACGTCCACGCCCGCGCATCTGGGACTGGGACGGCGACGTGAGCGCCAGAGCCGGATGCAGTTCGTTCCAGATGAGGTTCCCGCCCGCCTCTTCGGAGATGCTCATTTCCAGACTGCGGGATTCGTCCGCGGCGCGCGTTACAAGCGCACAGAGGTCGCCGTTGACTTTCCCGCTGGACGGGCCCGGCGGCGGCTGGCTCTTTGCGTCGTGGATGGCCTTCACCTCGAGCACGTAGTACCCCCTCACCACAGCGGGCATGCGGAAGCCCACGGTGAACACGACGGGTTCGCGGGCTGTTGCGGAGTCGTGGCCCTTCCGTAGCAGGTCCGTGCCTGTGCCTGTTTGCAGGAACAGCGCCGCTGTGTGTGTGGAGTGGCATTCTTCGGCGCTGTCGAAGCCCGCGGCTATAGCGGCGTGCAGACGGCTCGCTGCTTGGCTGATGTTGTCTGTGTTGGCGTTGACGTTCGTCTTCAGCGTCGTTGTTACCCGTGTTGCGCGCGATGCGGACCGCGTTAGATCACCCGCTGCTTGGCTGGGCTCCGGGCGGATGGTAAGTCTCAGGCGCGCGAGCAACACGGTCGAGTAGTCTAGGCGTTGCAGGAGGCGGTCGAAGTCCCGACGCTGCGCCGACGACGTGATCTGGTGCCGGCCCATCAGCGCCCGTCCGAGCCCTTTGCCCGTGCCCTGGGTCTTACTCGAGGCTCCCCTCGCAGTCGAGGAAGAAGGGAATCCCGCAAGCCGCTCCGCAATCTCGAATATGACGTCCCCGCATTTCCGTACAGTCGAGACATACACGTCGCGTCCGTCTCCCAGCGCCCGCTCCACGGCGCTAATGACCTCGCCGTGCCGGAAGTAGATCGCGTGCGGCTGGGCTAGGATCTCGGCGATGCGGTCAGGGCCTAGACTGCTGGACTGCGCGGCGAGGATGTTCTGCAGGTCGTTTCTCATCAGCAGATGCTGGGCCTTGAGCGTCTCGATTAGGTCGTCGAGCGTCTTGCTGAGCTCGGGGTAGTAGGGTTTGCTGGCGTAGACGGTGTTGATGATCATGGGGAGGCCGCCGATTACGACGCCGAGGACTTGCAGTCCGGTGCCGCTGTCCATGCGGCTCATTGCGGCTCATCGATGCGATGGTGATGTTCATGGTCATGGTCAGGGGCGTGGTTCGGATGTGGTCGGCTTGTGGTGGGGAGACGTCATTGAAGCTTGATTTCGAGGGTCCATGGTTGAGTGGCTTGCATCGGCGCCTGCTGTCCGCTCATCGGTAGAAGTGGCTGGATTGTTTTGTAGCAGCAGGTAAATCTTCAACGTTGGGTGGATTGATGGCCCTGGTGGTGGACTTGCTCATCCCATCCGTTGCTTCCGAGATCTCCAATGCCGGAAGCGCTGAGCAAGTTGACTAACCGCGCTAATACGATAGAGCTGTAAATAGAGAGAATTGAGCCTGACATAAAGTGAGGGGCGTTGAAGACTTACAAATGATGTGCGCCTAGAGTAGGATGTGTGGAAGGCATGCTTAAGCTGAAGACCATCCACTCCGATGCTGATGAATATAGATTCTTTGACATGTAACCTCATAACTTCCGTATGGTCGATCATGACACTGGGTACAGACACGAGAAACAAAAGTCCAACCCGCTAAACCCTCGCCCTCCGTGTAAGCAAAACCTGCAACGCCAAATAACTCGCAACCCCCGTAAAGCAAAGCCCACTGATAACCCCAAAGCCCATAAGATACTTCGGCCGATCACTATCCGGAAACAAATACGCGCCATAGATCTGCGCCAGATTCCCCATCGCATTGACGAGCGCCAGCGAAATCCCCCGGACCTCCCGCGGCATCTCGCCAAAGCTCACGGACGCATAGGCAAGCGATAGCCCGTTCGATGCCCAGAGACCCATCCCCATGATAACGAGGAGGGCATAGCGCGCCTTGAAGTCGTAGACGGCGCAGATGATGATCGAGCAGACCATGGCGACCGTCATCATCGCGACGAGGAAGTACCCGCGTTTGTCCTGGTGCCGGTCGGCGAAGTACCCGGTGATGGCGTTGCAGACGAACGCCGCGGCGTAGATGGGGATCACCATGTATTGCGCCATGTTGCCGGTGTAGCCCAGGCCTTCGACGAGGGTGGGGTAGAAGTAGGAGAGGGTTGAGGAGCCGACGATTGCCTAGTAGCCTTGGTTAGCGCGGTTGAAGCAGCGGTAGGCGAAGGGCGTACCATGTATCCAACGACAAACAGCCAGGTCTTCCAATTGCTGAGGCTGGCCTTGAGCGCCTGCGCGTGGCCGAGTACCTCTGTGCCGTCCCCGTCGACAGCCATCGCTTCGGCTGCCATCCGCGCCATGGCGAGCTCCCTCTCGCGCTCGTTGAGCCGTTTCGTGCTTGCGGGGAAGTCGAGCAGGAGGAACGACGCGATGATCGATACGCCCGCGGTAGCCGCCCCCTCCACGATGAACAGCCACCGCCAGCCCTCGATCCCATGTGCACCATCCAACCCGCCTACAATGCCGCCGGCAATCAAACCGCCAAAGGCACCTGAGAGAATAGCCGCTGAGATATACACCGCGAACCGCTTCGACTGCTCGGACTTCTTATACCACGAACTGATAACGAGCAGCACGCCCGGCGCAAATCCCGCCTCGAGCAGACCCATCGCAACTCTAAACCCAATGAGCGCCTTGTATGTCTGCACGAAGGCCATTCCGATGGTGACGCAGCCCCAGGCGAACATGATGCACGGGAGGTATATGTTGGGCTTTATGTGCGAGAGGAGCATGTTGCTGGGGACTTCGAAGATCACGTAGCCGATGAAGAAGACGACGAGGGCGATTGAGTAGCGGTTGCTGTCGAGGTCGAGGTCGGTGTCCATGCCGGCGACTTTGGCATTGCCGATGCTAGTGACGTTAGTATGCGCTGAGGAGGGTAGGGGAGAGGCGTACTTTGTGCGGTCCATGTAACTCAGGAGGTACATCACCCTGTTCGGCTGGTCAGCAATTCATCTTGGGATGTCTCTGTTGGTCAGGGCCGTACCAAATACACGGCAACAGATAGAGGTCGATCTTGCGAACCAGTCGCTTCTCCTCGTCGGTACCGGGGACATAGCTAGCAACCAGTGTCTCGTGGGCCACGGCCGGCTTGCCCTCGATATCCTCGACCTCAGTCATGGAGGTAGAGTCGCGTGCGTCTTTCATAACGGTTCAAAGTAATCAAACAACGTATCAAGTCCGAGCTCCAATAGTAGAAAAGCGAGGATAAACACGGTAGTGAACCACGGTCTGAGGAATGAAAGTAAAACCGAGGAGAACCCCACGCTTTATAGATCATCGTAGCCAAGTCCATCTTACCCCATGTACAGCTATCACCCCAGGTACGAGCTTCGGAACAAGATGTCCCATGGCAATCCATGCAATCAATGACGCATGGCCTGATCGATGTCCGGGGTTACAGTGGGCGAGTGGGCTCTCATCTCCACCCCCGGTCTAAGCCGTCTGGGGGCGGGCCTGACTCCTCCGGTGCTGAGAATGGAGAGATCGTCGTTGCGAAGAGGAGAGGGCTGCGGTGGGCCTGGACGCGAGTCGAGGGTGCACGACACGCGGTCACTGGGTCTCTGGAGTCTGGCTGGATGACGTCGGAGCTTCAGTCGGAGTTGGTCCGGCAGCATCGAGGGGTGCTCTTTTTTTGTGAGGGGTATATAAAGAAGAGATTGAGTGCTGTATCTTGCTCAATCAATCCAAGTCATCTCCTCAACATCTCCCCGGTTTCAATCCCTCTACAGCACAATGGCCACCAACGGATCCTCCGAGCCCACCCCCGTCGTGAGCACCCTGCCCGGCCCCGACCACAACTGGCAGGTCACTCTGGCCGGAAAGGTCATCGCGAGTACGTCTCCCCCCGTCAATTCTCCACCAGCGCATTCTAACAGTGCTCGCCAGTCACCGGCGCAAACCAAGGCATCGGCCTCGGCCTCGCCGAAGTCATCCTCGCCAACTCCGCCTTACACGTCTACAGCCTCGACATCTCCAGTCCCGCCGAACCCTTCGCGGAACTCGCAACCAAAAACCCGCAGCGGTTCTCCTTCATCCAAACAGACGTAACCTCCGAAGAATCCGTCACAGCGGCCCTGGAGAAGATCGTCTCGCAACAAGGCCGGCTCGACGGCCTGATCGCCAACGCCGGCGCCACAAAGCACCAGCCCGCGCTGGACTTCAGCATGGACCAGGTCAAGCGCCTGTTTGAGCTGAACGTCTTCGGCGCCTGGAACTGCGCCACCGCCGCCGCGAAAACGTTCATCAGGCTCGGCATTAAGGGCTCCATTGTCTTCACGGCCTCCATGACATCGTACCGTCCTAACCGCGCCGCGCCTAGTGCGCCGTACGGCGGGACAAAAGCTGCTGTGCGGAATATGACGCATACGCTGGCGATGGAGTGGGCGAAGCACGGGATCCGCGTGAATAGTATTTCGCCGGGGTTTGTGAAGACGGCGCTCACGTACTATGTTGAGACCAGTCCGGACTGGGACACCAAGATGAAGTACTATGGGGGTATGCCGCGGCTGGCGATTCCGCAGGAGCTTGGGGGTGCGTATGTTTATTTGCTGTCTGATACGGCGACGTATACGACGGGCATTGATATTCCGATTGCGGGCATCGTGGGGGCGTGGTAGGCTTGTGTTCTGCGTTTGTGTCGGCATATTGTATATAGATAAGGCGTTGAGGAATGGCATTGATTTGGAGGTGTTGTGTTCAGTGCTGGGTCCGTTGTAGTTGTTGAGAATAGAGCGTAGCGACGCGGCTCGCGGCATATCATACTGGCGCAGAGATAAAAGAAAAGGAAGGTAGGATGTACGACACGTCGACACTGGGTCCATCTAGAGCACACTTATCATGGACGTGGCTTAGAAAAATGATATGTCGCCAAAGCGAATGCTTTGGGAGGTTGGAGACGAGAGGGAGGAGAGGGAGGAGAGGATCGCTGTAAACGGTCAAACACCTGCACGAGCCTCAGGCCGCCGGGGCTCTTCTCTTCTCCGCACAGCCGGTATCCCAATGTTACAATAGATTGTAGCCAAATACGATATAATACAAATCGGAAATCTAGATCTTCAAGCTAACTTGCCAAGGAGGATTGTTCAAGTGTCCAATTGCACTGTGAGAGGTGAATCCACATTGTGGAGGGGAAGCGTCTTCAAAATATAGATTCGGACATGACAAATTTCTAGCCTCTATAAATTGTAGAGTGCCAAAGCGACCCGCGAAATAGCTTCCATGAGATGGGTATATATAGTATATATATGCCAAGTCCAAATATATATGTATCATAACACTTTTCCCTCAGTCGCCTTCACCCACTCCTTCCGCAAGTCATCCTGCATGGTCCCCATCGGCCACCCCGTGCGCGCCTCACATGCCTGGATTAACGAGATTATAGCGTTCTGCTGTGCCTCGCTCTGTACACAGAGACCAGCTCCGAATAAGCATTGCGCGGAAATGATCTGGCAGCTAGGATCCGTGAGTTCGATTGCGATGCCGCAGATTGTGGCGACGGCGTCGGTGAGTGTTTTCTAGGGCAGACTATTAGTATACATAGACAGAGGGCTACTTTGAAGGAGGTACCTGAAAAGCGCGGTATCCCGAAAACCCAGTCGTCACCGGCCGATGCAGGCAAACAAGGATTTTCGCGAAGCTGTATACCTGCAATGCGACCCCGAATGCGGGCGGGTGGATCCAGATGGGCGTCCACCCGTGCAGTTCCTCGCGGTTATGGCTAGGAAAGGTCTTGAAAGCCGCGGCTGAGAAACTGCGCCACCTCTCTAGCATGTCCATCAGCTCATTTCCGCGCTCCGTCCGCAACCGCACCTGCTCGGGGTCCACTTCTGCTCCGGCATCTGGTAGAGGCTCGGTGCAGTAGTTGACTGCTTGGCTAAGAAGGTAGACTGATCGATAGGCGAGGTCATCCTCGCTGAGGTCCGGGTAGTCGACGATGGGCTGCCAGAAGCTAAAGCAGCGGCGGTGCTCGCGGAATGCAGCCCAGAGGTCTTGTCTCAGCCAAGCCCACCAGACGGCTTGACGGAGACCACCGGAGGAGCCATTCACGTCTTGAGATCGTTGAATCCAGAACACGCCTTTTAGGTGCCGTTGCCAGTTGGAATTGTGCTCGCTCGCGTCGAGCATTTCGTAGGTACTGATTACTATGGCTGTCGCCAATAGCTCCGCGCTGTGTTTGTAAGAGTTGTACTGTAAAGCTGTGGAGACATAGTGGAGGGTTTCGTAGTAGAATTGAATGGCTTCATTCGGGTCGGTTGGTTCCGGGGTGTCTGGGGTAGGAGGCGATAAGGAGGAGTAACGCGCGGAGAGAGCGAGAATGGCTTTCATGAGCCCGAGATTGCGGAGGGCAAGGCGAGTGGCATGGTTGGAGAAGTGTTTGTGGCAGTCAAAGAGGTCCAGCTAGCTAGTTAGCAGCTTGTCATGTTACATTAGAGATCCGCCTATCTCTGGCGGATGGAGTAGTGAAAGGGACTTACCGATAGGGCAATGTGCTCGGCAAACCTTCTGAAAAGAGCCGCCTCGTGTTTGGATAAAGCAATATCCGAGTCGGCCTGCCATGCATGTCTTTCCGAGAGCTGCGCGGAATAGAGGTGCGCGGAGCTGCCACGATCTTGAAAGTGGCTTACCGACCCACGCGAAAGCCGCGATCGAGGCGAGCTAGGCAGGCTAAAGCCATTTCCTTCTTGTGCGGCATCGGTCGCAAGCAGGTTCAGCCATCTCGCGGTGGCATGGTCGGAATTGACGTCAGGGGTCACCGAGACCGACTCGGAAGGCAAGGAGCTGTAGACTTCGGGCTGCGGTCGAGTTTCTGGATACAAGGCAACCAGCTCGGGGTCCAGGATATTGTGTGTTTCCGGACTCGGACCACTGGTGGCATCATAGTCTAGTGTCGGCGCGACTGGACCATGGCCAGGCGGAGCTGAACGGGGAGAACACAGGATGTTCTGTATCTGGGAAGAGTTGGAGGCGACACTGGACGCGTCAGGTCTATCGGATGCAGTCTGCCGAGTATCGCCGGGGTAGATGCAGTCGCGGTCCGAGTTCGTACATGGTCCGCATCGAGGTTCTGCAGGAGTCAGCCAACTGCCTGCCAGAGGATGTAGTCGAGGCGAGTTCACTGTGTTCGTCGCATTTCTTGTGTCTGGTGCGGCACGTCAGACTGCGAAGTCGGACATGGTCAGAGCGATCGTGGATCTGGGGAAGTCAGGTGGGCATACCATCCAGAGACGCTTCGCAGGCCCCGGCCGCGGGGCTTTCTGATTCTTTTCTTGACCTTTGCGTCCATGATGCGCGAGGCGTGGTGGTCGTCGCGGGAACTGGCTTTGGCGACGGAGGCAACCGCGTCTCGTGCCCGCTCTCTTCCGGCGGGGCACCATCTTCCCGACTTTTCTCAACACCCCGCGTTCCACTCAACCTCAACGGCGAATTGTCCAGACTAGCGAGTCATGGATCCAAATGCTACGGACCACGGTCTTCTCTCCATTGTTCATCAAGCCAAGTCTCGTTAAGGTGCCCCGGAACGACCCGGATCTCTATTATCCACAAACACCACGCCAACAGTCAGGTGGGGGTAGGTAAACAATCAAACCGCAAGCTGCGGACAACTCAAGGAAAACTGAAGGAAGATTCAACGCCACCGCCGCAACCAATCCTGCGCATACCGAGCGAGTATCCCGTCCTCGATAATCCTCAACCGTCCATTCCGCAGCGTCTCACTGTCCCTTTCCGCCTTGTCCGTCCGGAATACCTTCGGTCGTGGTGCGTCGGCCCCGTGCATCGCGGCGTAGTGGTCTACTAACTTGACCGCAGGATTTTCCAGCTCCTCTCCATTCCTCTCGCTCTGTCGCAGCTTCTCCATCCAGTCGTCGAACGCAACCGTCTCGAACTCGAAGCCCTGTTGCCGGAGCGCCGTGAGCATAGCCGACCAGGTGAAGGTGCGGGAGTTACACAGGTTATACAGCGAGTCGTCCTTGTCATTACGGCTGTCCTCAGCCTCGGGCGACTTGGAAGAACATACCCGGGCAATCTCCATAATCGAACACGCCAGCTTGTCCGACGGGAGCCACGAACACTCGGTATCCAAATCGGGAAGAACTTTCAGCGTCAAAGCGGATCGAAGCATCAGCGGAATCGCCTCGGTGTCGTTCCAGAGACCTCGCTTGGAATGTCCTGAGACTTGTCCGATTCGAAGAGAGTATGCTCTCGCTCCGGACCTTCGCGCGTTGCTCACGATTCTTTCCCCGATGAGCTTTGAGCGCGCGTACCCCATCTCAAGCGCACTGCTGAAGTCGCCCGTCGGGCTCTCATCGATGGTATCGGATGATTTGGCGAGGGCGGTTGAGATGGACGAGCAGAAGAGCATGACGGCCGGGGTTGGCATATGCACGGACAATGAGAAGTTGATCAGATTGTTCAGCCCTTGGATGTGCGGTGTGAAGCTGGATAGCGGGAGGTTGAAGTTCACTGGCCACGCTGTGTTGATTATTAGAGATACACACTGACGCATTTCTTCGACTACATCGTCCTTCAATCCCAGGTCTTCTTGCGCCAGATCACTCGTGAGGGCGATGATTTTTGTCGTCCGGTAGGGTAGCACACCCAGACCCTTCTGCTCGAGGGCGTCCAGGATTGCTTGTTTCGGATTGTGTCGGCGTGTCAGGCAGTATACGACGGACACGGTTTCATCGTTCAACATTTGATGCAGTGTATGTGCGCCGATGCTGCCAGTTGCACCAGTCAGAATCTACCTGGTTAGCTATCGTCCATGTGGGAAACTCGACTCTACTTACTACACCCCGGTCGTTCTTCATGTGCTCAGGCACTGGAACATGACGTCTGAACGATGAGTACCTGTCGATCAAATCCTGCATTACCAATTTGTGGTCTTTCTCCACAGCGTCCTGGCCATCTTGGGCGGCGTGGATCATTGCTGCAAGTCGAGATATGTTGCCCGCTTCGAATACAACATTCGAACCGAAAGCCTTCCTGTCGGGAAACTTGAAATCCCTCAGCACGAGCCGACGCAGTTGAATTGCTTTCAGGCTATCAACGCCGGCCGCAAAGAACTCAGTTTCGTTGTCTGGTATGGAGAGTCGCAACTCATCCTGACACAGTTTCAAGAGATGAGTCTCCGTGTCATCAGCGTCCAGCTCTAGCGCCCCATCAGACTCCTCTTCAAGCCCATACAAACTCTCAATGATATTTGCATAACGCGCATAAACTTGGGCCCTGATTATCGAGCCCTTGTCCGTCTGGGGGCGAACGGATTCATGCGGCAGCACACAGATCATGTCCCGAGAGATCTGCGAGAACTGTTCCGCGCGAGAATTTGCATCATCCACTGATGGCCAGATCCGATCCAGGAACTCTTTATCGGGGATGGCCTTTGCTTCCTCAGACCGGAACACCAGCAGGCCCGGGAATTCCTTGTTAGCCCCTACCACCACCGCGTCATCGATTAATACATTCTGCTTGATGGTACCCTCAATGGGCAAGGGGAGGACCTTTTCTCCGTTTACCAGTGTTATCCGATCGTCTAAGCGCGTCACATACTTCCACCGATCAGGCATGTCCGGATGAGGCGTGAACACGTCTCGAGAATGGAAAGAACCCGGTGGCTCGTCCGAGTTTGACGTTGTGAGTGCGGGATGGCCGTCGAGGTAAACGCACTCGTAAAGGTCATCCGCAATCGGTTTCATCCAGACATAGGATCTAATGTTGTCGAAGAACCGCAGATAGTTCCAGTGCGGGTCGTCAACTGGTCGCGAAGTCGACTCTGCTACCAGTCCAGCTTCAGTTCTGCGGTTGTCAGCCATTGTCCGAATCTCCAGATGAAATTGAGGTGTGCTCACAGTCCAAACATACCGCCAACCCGCACCCCTTCAGCAACAAGTCGATCCCCGAGGTCATCAGGACACGGCGCCCCTCCATACGCGACCAGCTTACAGGAACGAAGCATATCCAAACCCTCTTCACTGCCCACCAACAGCTGCAGCAAATATGGTACTCCCTGGACGGACTCGGGCTTTGCCGCTTTCAATGCAGCAACCGCGGTCGTCGTCGTTAGCGGCACCGAAACATCCCACATATATGCCACCTTTCGCATATACATCGCCTGGAGCGCAGTCGACAAGCCATGCAAGTGATACCATGGCAGGGAATTGAACGAAGTCAGTCCGGGCCCCCGAAGCGGGTGCGTCATGATAGCTTTGTGACTAAGATACAGCGGTTTCGGCGTCCCCGTGGACCCGGAACTGTGCAGGATAAGCGCCGTTCGATTTCGCTGGGCCTCTCGGTTGCGGCTTCTATGGAGCGGAATGAAACATGGTCCATTTCCATTTGAATCTGTAGTGTCGGCTGTTGAAGGGCACGGACGCTGTACGATCGGTCGGACCGTCACGAGCCTTTCGCGAAGGATCTCGCCTATCGTCGCTCGGATGCTTCCTGTTTGCCCGTACATGATGGTGTCGCAGCCGACTTTGTCAAGCAGCGATACACATGCAGCGCCGGCTAGACGCGGGGAGAGCATCATGACTGTGTATCCAAGGCGGCTGAGAGCAAAGAACGTTACGACCATGTTCATGTCGGAAAGCGTGAGCAGGGCAATCACTTCTCGATCATGTTTGGGCTACCTCGCGTCAGCTCTACCGCAGTGCTTGTTAAAACCTGCCAGGCCTACCGGTTTGAATCCCATATCCATCAACCGGACGACAACTTCATCAATCATGCTGTCCAGATCCTCCCCAGTGAAATACTCATATTCAATCACGCCATCCTGCGACTTTGGATAAGCCAGTATTGGCTTCTGGACTGCATCCGCCGCTCGTACCCGGATCAAGTCGTCGAGAGTATTGAGCCGTCCAAATTCCCGAATCAACGCTTCCGTTCTATCCTGGGGCTTGTCGCCCGACGATTCTTCCCTTTTGCACTGAGGATTGCCCATCTCATCTGCGTTAGTATGTGTGAGGTATGACAGAGTAGCAGCCACAACAGGGAAGGGGGCACTTCTGCACCTTATAAAGTTTCGTGAGAGCAGAGTACTATGTCACGTCATAAGCAGGGATTTTTCATTCGAGTCTCGACCAGGACCTGAAGGCTGAAAGCAAACTTTGCTCACACCTAAGCTGGTGCTGATTCCTGAATCTCTTTACTCCGTATTCCGGGCGTGCATTCGCTTCCGCCCCCTCGGTTGCAACTCGCATCGCCAAGTGCGAGCCCATGCATCGGATTCGTCACACTGCAGATGCGCCCAACGCGCTCAGCTCGCCCAGCCGGGCGCCACCAGAATCCCGGTGTCTTATCTACGGCCGTCGGCGTACATCCTGCCCATCCCTCGAGCAAACATCAACATCGACCGTTCTCGCACGGTGATTGGCGAGGTTTGTTTTTCCAATATGCAGATGGTGTTCTTAAGACTTGCGCAATCGGACGTATACCCTGGGACTGTTCAGCTCGAGTCATGCGTAGTTCATGGCTGCCATGCTCTACCGCATTGACCTGAGTCCTGCATCTAGGCTTACACAAATCAGCATAAGCAATGTGTCGGATCGGTCAGCCCGAGGGTTAGTCTAGGTCGGAGTTTGTTATTTGTTGGTTATTGCCACCTCGATTAAGCTGAAGGTTTAGGCTTTGGCAAACACCGATGGCATGAACGACACCGATCATGGTGCCGCTATTTCTCCGATACTTCTTAAGTCGCAATCCATACACTGCCTGCCTCCTTCGTAGGCCGGTGCAGTGACCGATCCGCTCGTCTATACCCTGTTTGTGGCGTATGCTCACTAATCAGTATTCAGTAATCATGCCCTCACCTCACTTTCTCACCATCTACGATCGACCACACCCCACCCACCCATGAAATACGAAAAGAGGCGCTGGACATGTAAACCCCTCAACCACCTGGCCCTCATAATCTAGAATCTAAAGCGGTCTGACAGTGACAACCAAAAGGCTAAGGCTGAGCCAAAGCAGATTCCTGCCCGATCTGTCCCTCCGCAAAACAGACACCTCCAATTCCAACACGGCGACGGCGCCCTCGACTAGAAGTTTTTTTTCCTTGCTGCAGTCTGCAGAACATCCCGGGCCTTAGATCCATTCTTTGATCTGGGTTATATTATAGTCTGCTGATAATGCTTATTATAATCTGCTTGGGGGTTCACAGTGAGTTGACGGTTTGATGGTCACTGGTCACTGCGTTGGGTTACACCTCTCATGAACCTTGATGCCTGCAAGGGCCGAACCTTTATATCGAAGCTCAAATCAGGGATGTGGCCTAGTTGTCTGTTGTAACTGCGCCAAGCGACTTCAACTGTGAGGCATAGGTAGGGTTTTGACTATGAATGGCCTGTAACCCCTGTGTACACCATAAGCAGCGGAGTTCGGGGTTATACATCGCAGATGAATCCTGAAGCCTGGTCGATATTTCGGCCGAGGGATATGTGATGGTTACACGGCATAAAGGTGCGAATTATAGTAGTACGGTACGGAGGGAGTCCTTAGTACCACTCCAACCTCAGAAAACAGAAATCGTAAACACATTCCAGCACGTAAAAACTCCTAGTATACAAATCAAATCATATCAAACCAAATAACCAAGCCTCATTCCCAGAATGAAGCACATCACTTTCTAGCTTCCTTACAGCTTAGCTTAGCAAACAGAGCGAATCCCCCTCTCAAGAACAACACCCCCAGCACCAGCCAGCACAACAGCCCAAGTCCACTTGTTGCCGAGCTCCTTAACGCTCGGCCAAAAGCTGTTCTTCTCAGCGCGGTACTCGGCAAAGTCACGCGCCTTGATGGGGTCCTCCTTCGCATAGCGCTCCGCCTGCGTAGCCTCGTTCTCACGGTCCCCGCCGACAAAGCGCAGGAAGACGTAGTTTGCAACGGGGCCCAGCGCGGCAAGGGGGTGGAAGAGGCCGGCGCCGAGCAACAGGATCGGGAAGGAGAAGTGGATGAGCGCGTCGCCGAGGTAGTTGGGGTGGCGGACGATGCTCCACACGCCGTCGCGGCAGACGCCGACGTCGCCGTTCTTCTTGTGCGCTGCCAGGCGCTTGTCGGCTAGGACTTCGATGGCGAAGCCGGTGCTGAAGAGGAAGACGGCGAGGGCGTGGAACCAGCCGGGCTGGGAGGTGAGCGGGGAGGAGAGCACGGATTCAGCTGTTGCGCGGTAGGGGAGGACGAAGGGGAGGGAGATGAGGGTCTGCGCGGCGGCTTCGGGGAGGAACATGGTGAAGAGGGACTTGTTCCAGAAGCCGGGGTCCTTCTTGGCTGCGTCGTAGCGGGGGTCGTCTTTTCCGCGCGCGATGGAGCGGGTTGCGATGCGGTGGAGGAGACGCACGCCCCAGGCGGTTACGCCGGTGAGGAGGAGCTTCTCCGGGTAGTTGAGGGTTGACCAGGCTGCGGAGAGCGAGAGGCCATCGTTGAGAACCTTGGAACCGATTGCGCTGTACCAGGCGTTGAGGGTCATGCCGGTAGGCCAGAACCAGTCTTTGCCCTCGGCGCGGTCGGTGTAGCGGGAGATACCATATGCGATTGTTGAGAATGCGGCGTGGAAGGTGAAGGAGGGGAGGGCGGCGGATTGCAGGAGGCCCAGGGCTGCCGCGGTGGACGACTGCGTGGTCGTGGAAAAGTGCGAGCCGTAGAGGTCCTGCTCGGCGGCGGTGCCTGCGGCCTGTCCGACACGTGGGATTTGCTGGCGGGCTTTGTCGAAGCCTGAGCTGAAGCGGGAGCCGTAGAGGTCTTGTTCGGCGCCGCTGGTTTGTGGGAGGTGTGATGCTGCCCTGTCGACGGGGAGAGGACCCGTCGACAGCCGGCTGCTGTAGACGTCTTGTTCCGCCATGATTGAGGTGTGATTTGACAGAGGGAAAAGGAATTGAAGGGATTGGAGAGCTTTTAAATGTGTGGTGGTCAGGATTGCATCATGTTGAGGTCGTCGCACCGGGTGACGTCAGCCATTCCGGGGGCTCCGCAATTGCGCTGCGCGACAGACTGAACTTGGACCTGGCGCGGCTTTTCTTGGATTTTTAATTAATGATGATCATAAGATTCAGGAGTTCATCTCGGAGTCTCGGTTTAGCTGCGTGTCGCTCCCAACTGCTGCGAAACCGGCGAGGTGGAGGCACCTCGATGTTTTCGAGTCCTGCTTGTCACGATCGAGTTTCCATCTAACATGACTCGATTTATCGAAAGTTGTTTGGTCACGTCCAATCCATGGCCCTAGGTTCTCGCGCGTTTCTTGACAAAGGGCCTGTGAATATCCGATGATCTTGCGCCTTCAAAGCCTTGCGCAGCGCCAATCCACCACCGACCGCAGGATTCACGTCATCTTCAGAGAACTGCGGAAGTATCACGATCGTCAATCTTTCTATCTGCGGGAATAGCAAGGGAAGGCGCCCTTTCCGGCGTGTGCCATGCGTGTGGTGTTATACCCTATGTCGGCGCGCCCTATCCCAGTCCTAGAGTTGTGGCTAGGGCACATCTTTCGAAGAGTAACCTAGCCACGCCCATATGCTGCACCATGGTCGCCATTGGAAAGGCCAGGTCGTGTTAGGAGGTACTCTTCCGGGGGAAGTGGTTTCCGCTTGTCACCTCCACGTAGCGAAGCTAATCCCAAGTAACCTGGAGCTGTTTCTTCGTCGCTAGAAGAAGCGGAGTGTACCCCTCACGGCCCCTATTCTTCATACACGCGCCGTCTTGGAGGAGCAGGCTCCTGCTGACTATATGACCGCGCTTGTCGCGTGAGATATGGGATGCCCTTTGCTGTGCCGGTTGTAGTTACTGGTGCCAGCTTGATACTAACGCAGAAGTCAAACTATGAGCGGGTTTCTTCGCCTGTGTTCAGCAACACCTTCATAAGGAAGACTGGCCTTTGGTTGGCGGCAGTTATTAGGATCAAAAGGACGCAGTAGGTTCGAGAATGGCAGTTGCTTGCGTCTGGATTCGAGCAGCAGGACTGGATCAAAGGCGTCAAGTCACCGCGGAACAGGCATTCGATGATGAGGTGGATAATGTCGAAGCAAAGTAAGCGAGCATTGCATTCAACCGCTGTAACTAGTAGGTCTCTCAGATTAAGAAGCGTTGCGCGCGGCTACGGCGAGGGGAAAGGGTAACACGCAATTGCTCCCGACTACGGTCATTACGTAGTTTAGCCTGCTTGCGGTATTCCTTTCCCCGGCTGCAGCGAGGCACAGCTTGGGCGAAGCCATCGAAGTCATCAGAGATCAATATCGGGATCGTTCGGGTCCGGCAACGGTTGATAAACAGCAGGAAAAGCATCCGGGCCATAACAATAAAACCCAGGATGGGGTTCTGGCTGGTAATCGCCGAAGCCAAGCGTGGATTTTGTCTGCGACCAACTACCAAACTCAAAGGCAACGCCGGCCGCGGCGAACTTCGAGATCACAGTGTCCTCATCGTCCAGTGTCTCTGCCATGTCCCAAGTTACCTGCTTCAGCTCCTGGAACTGTCCTCCGGAAACAGCGTCGGCGAGTCCGAGCAGGCCGCTTTCAAGGAAAGGAAGATAGCTTGTGATGGTATGGGCAAGGGACAGCGATAAAATGCTTGAGGGTAGAAGTTGAACGAGGAGGTGATAATCTTCTTCTCCCGCCCAGAGCGACCTGTCCATGTTGATGAATAAATGCTTCAGCGCAGAGGAGTCCTTGAAGCTGAAGACGTCACGCCACAGTTGCCAGGGTTGTTTATGCGGGCTTCGGCCGCGAAGGTCGATGTGGATGGACTCAAGTGTTGCAGAGTGACGGCCAAGAGCTCTCACTGCGAATGAGGGCTGGAAGTTCCGAGAGCCAGCAAATTGCTCAGTCCACCAGCCTGACGTGCGCCAGTCTCCTTCAAAGGTGAAGCTGCGCAGCCCCGTACAACACGACAGCAACCGTTCAAGACTTTCGGCAGTCAGTTGGCTGAACGTGAGACTGAGAGTCTTGAGGTTCGGCAAGGGGGGCATCTGCCAAACACCGCCGCACGTATGGATATTGAGCGTTTCGAGTCCAGGGCAAACCGCTAACAAAGCCCCAGCACGCTGCCCAAGATCAAAAAGCCTCACTGAGTCTTCGGAGTTCCCCCTGCAGCGCTATGCGTCAGATCGAGGGTCCTAATCGGCAGGCTCGAAACACCCGCTATGCAGAACCCAGCAGCACGCACAATCTCCCCGTGAAGGGGATCAACCTGCATGCTACAATGTTGCAAATTCGGGAGGATCACAATCAAAGCCGTAAGCAAGTCAGCCGCAGAAAGGCACTCCATGATATTCCGGACCTTCAGAGTCCGCGCAAGTTGGCGGAAGGCGTCCTGGACTTCGTTTTCGCTAAATGATTCTTGTTCCGCAAGACATTGCATGAAATTGCTACCCCAGAGGAGGTGCAACTTGCTGATCTTCTTTCCCTTGCCAACGCTCTGCAGTAAATACGGGTGGATGCAGATTCGCTCCACAAGAGCCGCCAGATCGCGTCGCTGGGCCATAGTCCGCATGAACGAGACTAAGCGACCACGCCAGCTGTATTGATCCGAACGCCATGAGTCCCCGTATCCAAGCATGAACCCCTTGTACAGCAAAGGTTGGACAGCGTTGCACCAACGCCTAGAGACCAAACAGAGTGAGACGAGAGATTGGAGCTCCAGGGAGTACCAGGACTGCTGGTCCGACTTTTGTCTATCGCCTCGAATATATGCATCCGCGGCCTCCTGCGAGTGTCCACTGGAAGCCGGTCCATGGTTTTCGTGGTCTCGGGTCTGTTTTTAGTCTTGCGTGGGTCACTCTCGACAGTGCCGTTCTGAACCTGCGTCGGATAGGAGGGACAGTAAGGATTCAGGGGTTGGGTGCAAGAAAATGAAACGGGAGAGAAAGATTGCGTTTTCTCGCTGGTGTAGATCCCCGGGCCCCCAAGCATGCCAGCCTAATAGGGTTAGCGACTCTGTGCCCTTCTAGGGATCCACCTGTCTGTTAGGTATAGAAGTTCTCGCGGGCACCTCCTTGTCGTTGGGGCACTTCCCACACACTGAGGCCCGAGACCATGTTCTCATTCTCGCCTCCGCTAGCGCATTTGCCTTTGCTCCATGAGTCATGACACCAGGGCCCCATGGAGTCCATACGTCTACCGGTTCTGTCCTTTAAACCACTTCAATTTTGTGCTTATGATTTCAAGTTGGAAGGCATCATAGATCGGCGTCGTCCTCATCCGGCAGTGGCATCCATTGCCCAGCATCCGGCGAGCGTGGCCTCCAACCATGGTCACCGAGTGTCGACCTAGTCCCCCAATAACCGTCGTAACCAAATCTAACCCCGGAAGCAGCAAAGATGGATTGCACGCGCTTCAGATCCCAATCTTTGTCCCATTTAACTTGCTTCAGATTCTGGAACTCCCCACGAGCAGCAGCGTCCGCGAGTCCAAGCAGGCTTCTTTCCAGCCATAGTGGTTGATCACTGTATGCGCTCTGGAACATAAGGTGGAAGGATACAATACTAGGGGGTAGAAGCTGGATCAGGAGCTCTGGATCGCCCACTCGAGCTCCTCTCCACACCAGGCTGTCGAGTTCCTCCACGTTGAGAGTCAAGTGTTGTAGGGCAGTAAACTCCCGGAAGCTAGACATATCCCATGTGCCGGGAGACCATGTGGACTCGCCCCTCTCCCGGAGGTCGAGGTGTAATGATCTGAGTGTTGCGCGGTGTCGTCCCAGATATCGTACGCCATGAGATAGCTGGAATTGATCGCTTCCGTTCCAGGGGTCGTCATTGATATTGTAGGTCCGACAACCCGCCTGGTAGAAAAAGCTGGTTAGGCCGTTGCATGAGCTAAGCATTGACTCAAGATCCTTTTCGCCGAGTCTGCTAAAAGTGAAACAAATATTCTTCAGGTTGGGCAGGAAAGGAATACTAGATTGTTGCCAGGTCTCCTTGCACACGTGAACGTTGAGTGTTTCAAGAGACGGAGACAACTCAACAAGGGCGCGGACGTGCTGCTGAAGACTCAGTGTTCTCCCTGGATAGTAAAGAGTATCTAGTGAGATATCGATGGTTTTGAGGGATAAGTGTGAAATTCCTGTGGCGCTTAGCGCAGCCGGGCGAGCAATCTCGGCATCATAATACTTCGCTCGAAGACTAAAATGCTCCAAGCCGGGCAGCTCTGCGATCAAAAGTGCAAGCAGATCCCCACCTGATAGTTGATGCGGTTCTTTGATCCCTAGCATGGTTCCAACTTCACTCACAACTTCCTCGGGATTCTCACAAGCAAGGTGAGAACGGGTAAGTTCTGCACTTTGAAAAGGCTCCAACAAGGAGGGATGAACAAAGATTCGTTTCACCGCGGCAGCGAGGTCTTGACGCTGGGCAACAGTTCGCATAAAAGAGGCAAGTTGGCCGTTCCATTTGCGGCATGCGGCAAGAACAGATACCCCATAATCATAGCCGGGGATAAATTGATGAAACAGTATTGGCTGAGCGATGTCATGGAGACGGCGAGACGCCAGACACGTCGAGTACAAATCCCGGCAGTCCGCAGCGTACCAGGTCCGCTCATTGGGATCTGGCTGAGGGGCTGGACATGGAATGTGGCCAAAACTTGAGTGATCAATTGGCGACATTTGCTGGTGCTCTCCGCGGCAGTGCGCGCAGAAATGCCCAAGTATTAGATGCAGGACCTCATTCGGAAGCAGCTCCAATGCTGCCAGGTAATGGGGCGAAGGCATGAGTCGTGGTGTCGGACTTGCACTCCAGTCTTCCGCTATCAGGTTTGGACCAAGCTGTAATATACGGACATTGCCATTAGCGGGAGAGGGTCGAGATTGAAAGATAAGAGGAAGTGATGTTGAGGTGAGATTGTGGACAGTCGATGTTTTCCGAGCAGTGTAGATCCGATCCCCTCCAAAACACGCTAGTCTCCGTACTGTTGTTTCTTGGCAGGGGCTTTGGTGTCCTCTTCTTCGCAGTGGAAAAGTAATGGAGTTCCTTTGGGATAAACTGAACGATGTATTTTTGTCATTCTATTGGCGGGCACTTGGGATTGAGCTGAAATGGGCGAATCATAAGAACGACAGTAGGCGCTGAAGCAAGTAATTCGTCAAACCTCTCTATGCGGTGCTATATATATATTCTGACGAGTGCACAGCGCCGATGGCGACTACAATGGCCTCACCCCCTCACACACTAGGAAAGGAAACCCCAACGTATCTCCAGGTTTGTTTCCCTCCCAGTCCTCAATCTTTTTTGTCAGCGTCCATCCCACTGATACCTTAACGTCCTGAAACCCAACCTCCTTCATCAGATCCTCCATCCACCGAGCAGGTATCCCATGTCTCTCGACCCCGTCCAGCTTTGACGGAGGATGAAATTTGATCGCCTCGGGCCCAAAGTCCTCAAAGTCAGTCAATGCAACCCTGCCACCGGGCGTCAAGCAACCAAGCAATGTACACAAGAACGCCTTTAGATCGGGGACATGGTGCATGACAAGATGTGAGAGGATGAGGTCGAACTTGCGCCGGGCGCCGTTGGGGTCGATGGGATTATGAGGCGGGAGGGCAGGATCTTCAGGGTCTTCCAGGAGGCGGCAGACGGGGACGACATTGTTGCTGTTGTCTTGTGTACCCTGCCCGTTGGCGGTATCGTTGATTTTCGCCTTCAACGCATCGATCATGCCGTGTGCTGGATCGACGGCTACGATCTCACGAACGAGCGGTGCGACACGGAGAGTGAGGAGGCCTGTGCCGCAGCCGACTTCGAGCACGTCAAGACCAGCTCCCGAGGACGAACGCTTTCGCTCTGATAGCGCCTGGATGATTGGTTTGAGGGTGTCGAACGCGAGGCGTGTCGCTTCTTGCACCGCCGGGTTCTTGTCCCAGTCGGCGGCTTCGTCGTTGAAGCGCTCGTTCCCTGCAGATGCCATCGTGACACCGACCACGAACGCGGATGCTGTCTCTGTATCACGAAGGGATTGGAGTTGGACGAGAGAAAAACTCAGCAACACATGCGCTTTCCGGCATTCGGGACATATCCCACAGTGCGGGGTATAAGGTTAAGAAGGGGCATCTGCCGGGCTCGCGCTCCAACTCCAACTCCAACTCCAACAGTCCATTATCCGCGGCTAAAAAGGACTAGCAAGCCATCAAAACAATGCCATCATTCAGCTCCGCAGCCCTCGCCCTCACTCTCGCAGTTGCCGGCTATCTCCACGACCGGTGCATGACACCCCCAAACACCACCACGACCCCCCACACCACCGACCGCGTCCGCATCATCTTATCGCCCCAAAACCTCTACCTAGCGCGGATCACCAATGTAGCACTCATCTATCACATCCTGGTAACGCTTTTCTCAACCCCCTCCCAATCCGACCAAGCAACCCTCGCCAAGCTCTGCCCGTTCCCATCGCACCTCGACCATTCCACTGTATCCTGGAGCGCCCGTACGACCGGGTATCTCGCGCTCGTCGGCGTCGGCGCATTCCTCCGCCTCGGCGCCTACGCTCGCCTGGGCCGGAACTTCACGTACGAGCTCGCGAAGCCCGATCGCCTGACTACGTCCGGGATCTACAGGTACCTGCAGCATCCGAGCTACACGGGGATGGCGCTGGAGTTGGCGGGGTATTGCGGGCTGCTTGTGAATTGGGTGGATACGCCGATTGCGTGTCTTGTTCCGGGGGCGTTGCTGGGGTTGGTGAGGGAGTGGGAGGGGGCTTTTCTTGTGCTGGGCAGTACGGTCTTTTGTGCGTTCTTCTCGGTCAGGATCCGCGATGAGGAGATGATGTTGCGGGAGAGGTTTGGGGCTGAGTGGGAGGTTTGGCATGGGAAGACGGCGAGGGTTATTCCGTGGGTTTTTTGATTGTGTAATTCGCGTCCGGTATTTGTTCTGTTATATTCAAGAAGTTTACTTTGTGTTGGAGAACAGAGATGGTCTAGTTCTGGTCGGAGTTGGTCCGGCCCATGCGATGTCATCACCACCCGTTCCTGCCGCCCAAGCTCCCAGCCTCCTCTTTGTCTCGTGGCCAGCTAGCTCTCCACCTCCGCACTCCCATCCATCACCACCTTCCCTCCATTCATCCAGATTCCACCACCGCGCATCCCAATCCAACGGACCAAGCCAGCAAAATGGGCTTCATAAAACGCACCCTCTCTCGCACAACCCCGCCCGTGCTCGCCGCGATCGGCACCTTCTTCTGGGTCACGCGCAAAGACCGCTTCGTGGACATGCCCACAACCGACCCGATCTTCAGCCACCCTCTCTACGCGAAATACAACCCGTCCAAGAACCCTACAACCCACGACCTGTGTATCCGCCGCGTTCCGCTGTCCGAAATCAACCCGTCGCTGCTCGAGAAGAAGGGAAAGCTTGTTGAGGCGTTTTGTGCGGGGGTCTGGAGCGGTTGGGGTGCGTTTTCTCCCTTCTCCTTCTCCTTTTCCTTCTCTTCCTTTCACGCAGCTGGATGGGGTGAATCCAGATAAATGGAGGATGCAATGCTAATGATTTTTGTTTTTGAGCAGGCTACGCATTCCAGCGATCCTACCTCTCGCGCAAATACGAAGCCGCCGATACCGCGTCGCACCTCTGGACGAACGAGCAGCTGGCGTCTTCGAGCTACGACGTGGGGACTCTGATAACGGATCACTTTGAGGTTGTTGAGAAAACGAACGATCGGATTGTCGTGCGCTGCGGCGACTCGCCCCGTCGTCAGGATGTGCGTGCTTCAGACGGTCTCTTTGAGATCTCTGCCGTTGTGAAGCCTGAGGAGGGTGTTGCCGAGTTTGGGCTCAAGAGCTGCTTCTACCAGGGTCTCGGTAAGGCGGAGGGTACGCCGATGCCGCCGCATATCACATGGTTGCATCAGCAGTACACGAAGTTGTTGGCGGAGACGGCGTTGTACAAGGTGAGAAGGTAAAGGCTTTCGACGGGGTGTATATACCAGTGTGGACATAATATGCGTTAATCGATGATGATTTTGGTACGGCTGATGTAGTTAGAATAGCGATTTGAGGTGCCTTGTCCTGAAGTGCAGATAACCACCCGGGGGTCTCAGGCTTCGATCAATTGAATGGTTTATACCGACATGTGATCTTATAGAACTTCCTGGTTTCCACAGTTTTGTCGCAGCTGAAACTCGCAGGTATTGCAACGGCTGCTTACGCGCTCAGACCGACGGTTCTGACACCGTCTTTGGTTACTCTGGTCCCTTCCAGGTTGGGTGTGCGACAGTGAGAAAGTCAAATCCAGCCGGTTCACTCGGCCTTCTGTGCGTGCCGTCATACCGGATGCCATCATACACTGCGCGCTTGGCAAAGGTGTTGATCCTCCTCCAAGCATCACTTCACCACTGCAATCCGCAGGCATTGACCCAATATTCAACGGACCCCTCAATGCCAGAGTGCGAAACCGGATATGCCACTGGGGGTGACTTTATAGTCGAGCCACAATCCAATTATTCGAGGATTATTAGCCGGATTCCAGAGCCTGAGGTTGGAACGAATGCAATAACGCGGTTTATACTTCCGACTGGCCCGGATCCCGTGAGGTCCACGCAAGCAGGAGCAGATGGAGTATCGAGGATGTACAGACCATGGGCAGGATGAAGGAGACGGCCAAGACCAGCCAACGAGATCTGTAAACTCCCACTCCCAAATCGAGCTTCTTGCATTGAGGAGTTCAGTCGTCAAGCCTCCAGCTATTATCGTACATGACAAGTCACTTCAGCGGGAGGCTCTGCCCCAAGTGAGGCTACCGGATTCACGGACGACCTTCCGCGTCCTGTGTGCAGAGATCAAACGGCCATGCGAACTCGCGCAATCGAATTACTGATAGGTTCCCGCAGCCGCCGTTGTAGCGGTCGATGCGACGGAGTTCATGCCGTGCGATTTTGTCACCGAGCAGGAGGATATCCAGGCATATTCGATGTTGAGACGCGAAACACTACGGCCTTATCGGCATAACCTTGCCACCAAGCCGCTTGCAAAGGTATGCACTCTATTGACATATCTGGGACAGGACTGGTCATAATAGCCGCTGTCATTCGGCGATTTTAGCTCGAAAACTCCACTTGATTTGGAGTCCTTCATAGAGTTACTCGAAGGAACTCTGATCACGCATCTAGTCTCACATGAAACCGCAGTATTAGAGTCCGTGCAGCACTTCAATTGAATGGGGAATCTCACAGCTTACTGATTGCGAGTTCGGCATATTTCGAACGCACGCCGTTGTTCTGCTCAGATGAAGCCTAGCAAAGCAGCCTGTGCAAATTCTGGAAACATCTTCGAAACGTATCTACTTGGATGACCATGGGCGACATATAGATTGTTGGTGGCATTGCGCGACAGTCGGAAGACATCGTTTCGCTTATCGTGTTGTTGATATGACCGGCCAAGAGACAAGAGGCCCGTGAGTACGACCAGTCACTGAGATGAGATTGTTATTATCCAAAGGCCTCAGTTTGTGCGAACGATTTGTCCCCCTTCAGTGCGACTTTGTGCGTCGGGATAGAGACGGCGAGCGGTAGGTAGCACCAGTAGCTGGGAAAGCATACATCTGCTCGAACCCGGATGAAGCATACAAGTCGTGGCAAAGTTAGCCTGACCTCAGATAATGAGGATGCACGACAAATGGGGCTGCAGCAGCCCCCGCAAATGATTGGCAAGGATGGCACGCTCTCAGCCAGGCCCTGACAATCTGACTTCGTACTCCGGAGTATGTCCATATCGACCAATCGAAGTTGAGCCTAGCAGGATAACCATCTTGCGGCCATCCTAGTTGGTCAGTGAATGCCTTCCTGCAGAAGTGACTGCAGTGAGTGAGATGATTGCAACTTTGCAAGGCGGGTCTTATGCATGATCGTTTTTGCTTTTTCGATACCTTCCGCTTGTCTATATAAGGCAAACCCCCACCCGCTGCTTACGGGGCAACTGCAACTCTGCTCCCTGCTCTCTGCTCAAAATGGCCTGCACTGTCGATACCTTCTCGTTTAAGGACTTCAAGTTTCCTGACCAAGCTGCAGAGCGTCCCGCGGCACACTTCAACAGCTTGCCTTATCGAATCTTGGAGTATGACACCGACTGCTCTGAAACCATCGGTCAAGTCATAGCCGACTGGAGGGAAGTCACTGGCAAAGATGTCTCTCGCGCCCTTGGGACGAATTCTGCCAGCCTGCCCCTCTACTTGGCTCCCAAATGTCCTCCACATATTCTACCACGATTTGTGAGGTTTGGCTATATCGCTATGTTTTGGGACGGTAGGTAACTTCTTGCTTATGAATACATTGCTCTGACATCTGCGATGCAGATGCGACGGATACCCTTGATACAGCGGCAGTAGGTGTTCTATCCTGATCCTCCTGGGCAGTACTTAAATCGCTTAGCACGAGAGAATTCAACTGGACCTGCGCGCAGCGCTTCTTTCCGAGGTCAAGCTAGGGCGGCATACCCGGTGCGAGTTTGAGATAAACGAGCTCTATATCCAGAGCCTCATCGACCTCATGAACGGAACCGAAGGGTTTAGTGCCAGTTTCAAAGACAAATATGAGCTCTATGATTTCGGTCTCCAAGCACAGACCGTACCAGGACTGCGCACAGTGACTTGGGAAGAGTACAAAGCACACAGGATCAAAAGTGTTGGGGGCAGGTAAGTTGGTCCGCATACTGCCACCGTTGCTGCCTATCACTACAAAAAGTAAACTAATTGGTTATGGTAGAGTGCTATCGAGACTTCTGCCTGCCATACTTGGGATTTGCATCAGTGACCAAGAGCTTGATTCTGTCGCACATATGATCCAGCTCGGCGATTTGATTACAGGGTTGACGAATGACTACCACAGCTTCCGCAAGGAGTTTGATGAGCATCTTATGGCCGGGAATCTCGACATGATGCACAACGGCATGGCCGTGCTCATGAGCAACTACGGATATGCTGAAAATGAAGCCGCAGTCATCTTGAAACAAGAGGTTCTCGCGGCTGAAAAAAAGCTGATGGCAGACTACGAAACATGGAACTCCTCGGGGAGCCCCAAGACTGAAGACCTGCGCCGGTACATGTTTACCTCCATCCTCACCGTTGGCGGCTTCAATTACTGGCATTCCATCTCACCGCGGTACCATCGGACGGATTTTGCGACCACAGCCGCCGATAGAGCTCAGCTAGTTGGACGTGGGTATGACGGGAAAAGAAAGCTTCCTAACTACCCTCCGCCTGTAATGGCCACGGAAATGAATGGTCACAGCGAGTCAGATACATTGTCCGATGCTTCCAAAGAGATGATCAGTGTCGTGAACCATCTACAAAAGGAAATAGTGGCGCCGTTCGAGAAAGCTCCGGCTGAGAAAGTGAGCCATCCTCCCTGATGCAGCAGCAATGTGCTAATGAAATCAGATCGTCCTCGCTCCGTGGGAGTACATCCAGTCGTTGCCCGGGAAGAAGACTCTCGGCCGCATTGTCGAGTGTCTGCAGGGTTGGTTTACATTGCCCGACGACTCAGCGAAGATAATCACAGAGACCACAAGGATGCTTTTCGATGCAACATTGATGTTGGTCCTCCTTCCAATAATATAGCGTGATTGCTAACAATGCAGGCTCGACGATATCCAAGACGGTTCTCAGCTCCGCCGAGGACGACCAGCAGCCCATGCGGTCTTCGGTCAGCCGCAGACTATTAACAGTGCTACATACCTCTACGTCAAAGGGAGTCGGCAGCTAAAGAGCCTAAAGCATTCCAATGAGTGCGGCGATGTATTCATGGGTATGTAGATCAAAACGCGCCTGTACTCCGCTGACTTCCTCCAGAGGAACTAGAAACTCTCGCATTCGGACAAGGTCTGGAGCTGCACTGGAGATTCAACACAAGCTTGCCCTCGACAAAAGACTACCTCATCATGGTGGATAATAAAACCGGCGGCTTCTTCCGGCTTGTGCTGCGGCTGCTAGAAGTAGAGTCGGAAAGTGAACCCAACCCTGAGTTGCTGCATCTGTTCACCTTGCTCGGACGGTACTACCAGATTCGAGACGACTATCTCAACCTGGCATCTGAAGAGGTAGCCCACCTACAAATCTTACCTTTAATATAGACTAATTACTCTACTCTAGTACACCGCGAAGAAGGGCTTTTGCGAGGACCTATCGGAGGGCAAATTCTCCTTCCCGCTCATCCACCTCCTGCAGAACATTGCCTCGCCGGAGCACATACGGGGTATACTCTTTCGCCGCGACGGAGCTACGGAACTCTCACTCGAGATGAAGCAGTTCGTTTTGGATGAAATGAAGGAAGTTGGGAGCCTTACCCACACCAAGGAAGTCTTGGATGGACTCTTCGATGCTATGCTGGAAACACTCGATAAGCTGGAAGCAAAGCTCGGCCCAAACAAGAAGCTCCGGATCTTCCTCTTGTGGTTGAAGATATAGAACCATGTACTTACTGGACCTTCATTACCTATAGCTAGAAGTAGATAAGATCCATTAACCTACACGCCTTGAAACCATGACCCATAAAAAAAAAACCTCGGCATTCCAGCTTCCGTACTGTACAACCTCAACTATAATACACTCATAATCACATCACCCTTCCCTCCCCATCCCATCCTAAAAGTCCTCCCGATTCGACGCCTGTCTCGGCGACCGCCCAACATGCCCATGCCCCTGAGGCGGGTTCCCCATCGTCGCCCCAACATCCCCCTCCGAGACAATCTTCGACCGACCCAGTTTAGTCGCGCCAGTGGTATTCGCCAGGTCGTCTTCCTTGACGATCCCCTTTTTTGGCGACTGGTGTCGCAGCAGCGCGTAGCCGCCGCCGATCACGCCGGCCATCGTCATGAAGGCGATGTTGCGGGAGGAGCTGGGGGGCAGATAACGTTGTTAGTTGGGCCATACGCAGAGAGAGAGTGTGTGCGACTCACGCAGCCGGAGAGCGGCCGGGCGCTTTTCCGATATTCATTCCCGCGGGCATTTTGCGTGTTCGTGTGCGTGTGCGTGAAAGCGAAAGTGAAAGTTCAGTAGGTTACTAGGTACGGCGTAAGACGTCCTAATATGTCCTTGGACTTCGAGGCACCAGCCGCTCAGAGCGGTTTATAAACGACCGGCTTCTGGCTCCTGAGCACCTTCGCCACCATGACGCCAGGGTGACCTATGAGACTGCTCTGGCCGCTCTGGCGGGCCTAGACTCGATTACCCGATTTGGCGATGGTGATGAAGGTATGACCGTATGACAGAGGGCCCGAGTCCGACAAGCTAACGTGGATCCAGCTCCGGTAGGCTCGGGTCTAGCCGGCTAGTGCGGCGGGGCGGGCGCGGGCGCAGGCGGGCGCTAAAAGGGGAGCGGGGCGGAGGGGTGACGGGGAGGGGCCACGGGAACAGGGCTCGGGGCTCGGGGCTCGGGGCTCGGGAGGGCCGTTGTTTTAAGATTGAGGATCTGGCGATCTTCAATTTGGATGGGGAGTACATAATGGGCAGGATGGTGTATCTGGCTGGTCGAATACTCGTAGAGTGCGTGTCGGGTATCTTGTCACGGTATGAAACATCATACACCATCCGTTGTCTATCGGGCAAGCCTGTTCCCCACCCTCATATTGCAAGCCATGATGTCCAGGAAAACGGGAAGATCTATATGTCGTGGGCAGCCCTACTAAACCCTCAGGAGAAGGATGAAAAGCACTGCCAGTTGCGCGGAGACCCACTGCAGGTATACCTAACCCAGCCCAGATCGTAAGGCCGTATAGATCCGCATTCCCCTGGAACCCGCATTCTGCTGGCATTCTTGTGTACGGTAAGGCTTATGTTGGTCTCGAGCAGCGGTACGACGGAAAGACAATTATGCAGACTAAAAACAGTGGGCGGGCATGGCCTATTTAGCTTATGAAGCTGAGCTGAGGCAACGCAGGAAAAAGCAAGTGCGCTGTGAAGGTTGCTATATTCCCGGACAAATGGGATTTTAGAAGCGAAAAAATGTGTGTAGGACAGGTGTGCAGATACGACAGTGGCAGTGGCAAAAAGGGAAGTTACCTCGCTATTGGTGATAGAGAAAGGACTTTTAGTCGGCTTAGGATATTTAGGAACGTTATCGACCTTTCAGTCTGGCCAGGAACCCTTCGCAGGAACGCTCTATCTTGGTCACATTCTTCTAGCTCCATATAATGATACCCCGACAGCCGTAAAAATACAGACAGGTAGGTGCCCGGCCATCTCCCAAGCACATCACCATCACCTAGAATCAGACCTCCTCTCGCTCACGCACGCCTTCCCCCATCTCAACCCCAACCACAGGCCCAAGCCCCAAAGACCGATCAGAAGACTCATCCAATCGGTTCCCATCAGCCTTCGGCGATCCCGCTCCCAGACCCGGTCCAGCAACGCGCCTCCCCCTACTCCCACATAGCCGCCCAGGCCGGCGCCCCCATCCACAAGCAGGGTTCGGCTTCGGCCATCGCAACGCGCACCGCATCGCGGCGGGCCCCGATGTCGGTGCCGGCGACGCCAACCCCCCGTAAAGATGCTGATTATGCGAGCAGATGAACAGCTGGCGGAAGGCGGCCGTGCAAGCGATGATAATTGCGGTGCCCCCCTCCACCGAGCACCATAGGTATCCCCAGGAGAAGCGGTCGAACTGGTGTACGGGGTTGCCGGTGGTGACGCGGGCGATGGCGACGGCGATGACGAAGACGGTGGCTGAGAAGACGGCCGTCAGGACGAGTTTCTTCCGCACCTCGATGCGCGTGCGCCAGATGATTAGGGATGGGATGGAGAGGACTTGGATGGTTAGTAGGTGGATTGTGGAGGCAGTATGGTAGACTTACTGAGGAGATCGGTGAGCACGTCTGCGGCGCCGTTTGTGTAGTAGGCCCAGCTGGACCTTCCGGTGTAATGCGCGTTGATGCACTCCGCTGCAAGCACGGCTCAAGGGTTAGGATGACTATCTTTTGTCTTGCACGCGCAGGTACGGACCGTTCAACTTACTTCTAATGAATTCCCACTCAGCAAACAAACACTGGTAGGATCCATCCGCCAGCACAAGGGCGCCTAGGGCCACGGTGAGAGCCGCCACGACATACCACCAGATGCGATGGCTCTTTATCTTCGAGCCCAGTCCGTAGAAGAAGACCAAAAACGACAGCTTGATGCACCAGAGGCCTAAAAAGAAAAGGATATTGATTGCGCCGCGGTAGTGGAACAGACTCGTAAACCGATCCGCAAGATCGGGTGTCCAAGCCGCTTTCCCGTTAATGACGTCGAAGAGGAGGTACATGGTGCCCGACTTGACCTGCCAAATTATGCTCGTTGCGAGATGGAAACTCCATGCGAGCAGGACGAGAAAGTCATCGAGGTGGAATTGGAAGTGGCGACTCGTTGTGAAGCGCACAGTTAGGCGGAAGAGGAGGAAGAGGAAGCTGGTGGCCGTGAATATCCACTGCATTGCCTGGGAGCTGTCAGTCGAGTGACTGAAGTCTGCGGATGAGGGAACATACCATGAAGACAGGCTGAGATACTCGTCCCAGAGGGGCTGCCATGGTTGGGGTTCGGACAAAAACTCGGTTTGCCGGGTACAAGGATGGCCGTTGGATGTCTTATATCAGCGTTCTGGCTTCTTTTTCCTTTAGGGCTGACGTCAGGTATTCACCGGTTCCTTCTTCTGCGGTGTAGCATGCATGTCGGCTGTATCAGGTACTCGATGGTTGTCATATTGAGATAGCCTTTGCAGGAGCATCTCACCTACAGCAGCTCTTAACTCACCAGAAGATCAGGGCTCGCCACTGTTATCGTCAGCATTCCATATCAAGCGAGAACGGTACTCCGTACCAATGCCAATGCTGTTACACCAGCCCCCACACCTTCCCTGCCTCATGCGAGGTGGGGTCACTTGTTGGTGTTACGCTCTCTTCGTATAAAGAAAGCAGTGGTTGAGGAGCATTGAACCCGTCCCAAATGACTGGTATCCGAACAGACTAGGTGATAGGAAACGTGGCATGACCAGCCTGATTCTCAAGCTCCGTCTTTTCGGCGTTGGCATCCGGCCAAGTGTGCAGACACTCGGCTTGTAATATAAATGGATGATAAGCGACACTACTACGGTCTGACGTTTGGAGCTCAGCTGCTGAGGCTGTTGTTGCATCACTCGTGTGTCTGTCCTCTTATTGGCCAAGCAGGATGCAGAGATAGTTCTCAAGTTATTTGGATAAGCCAAGGTGGCGCATCGATCGCCGGGGTGAGATTGGAAAGGGCCATGGGCACGAGTCTATCCACCAATAGTGAGGGTGCTGACAACAAAACTCGTGGACACGGTTGCTGAGAACAAATATTATAGCTGTAGTGAGGCCTGTGGAAAGGGCCATAGCAACAGACGAACAGTTGCCGGGGTTGCCCAGGCAGCGCGGTATGTGATATCCTCGTTTCAAACGACTGAATATAGTAGAAGCTCGAGGGTGCAATATAGCTGTTGAGCATTGCAGAAAGTAGAAGGCTCTGCACCATTGATGGCAGGGTCCTACCATACCACCCACGACCCAGGTTTCTTGCCATATCGCATCCTTTTCAATCTTACCAGCGTCCTATATCCGGCCTAGCCGTAATCTGCCGAGTCTGGAGCACAATTAGAGAAAGCAACGCATGAGCCACTCTGCAGCCAGCTGACGCTCAAATCGTAAATATAGGGCTGCATCTCGTACTAGCCCTAGCCATCGGAACGCATAATTAGAAGGCCACTAGCTGCATCCAGCGCGCCTAAGCTAAGCTTGTAGAGCTCATACCCCCTCATCACGACGGCGGCGATCGCGCGCATCGTGATATCAGCAAGCTCCTTCCCAATGCAGGCACCGAGGCCCCGCTTAAACGGTGTATCCTCGACGAGCCCTGAGATGGACGGCGACAATAGGGCTGCAGAAGCCGACGTCTGCAGGCGCACCGCCGTGCTTGAGGAGGGGGCAATGTAGACCATGTGGCTGGGAAAATTGAGCCCTGCTGATGAAGCGGGCTTCAGCGTTGTGATTAACCAGCCTGATCCCGATCTTGATATTGAGATCTACTGTCAGAGGAATGAGAAGTGAGCGGCTGCTTGTCGAGTCCGAGTCTTTTCTAATAGTGAGCGGCTGCTTGTCGAGTCCGAGTCTTTTCTAATACCCCCGTCATGAAAGATGATCTATCGAGATTTAGCGCTGGATGCTCGAGGAAGTATCATGGTGCGCCGGGTACGCAGCTGTAGATAGTGAGGGTACTGTCTACTTGCCTTGCTCACTAGTAGAGTAGCAAAAGCACAATGGACTCGAGTCGCTAAGTTGGGATAGTGCCTGCTGCGCTGCTTGTGTTCATATAACCATGTCTCACAGTAATGGTCTATAGCATGGCTAATGAGACAGGTGGCCAGCTGGTGCAGGAGTCCAGCCCCATTTTAGCTCCATCGCGTCTGACAGGTCGTAGCGCTTCCCCGCAGAACAATCGAGAGATCTTCGTTCTTCAATTTCAACCCTCCAAAGCTCCATCGCTGATGCCACCTCTCTGGAGCCGCTCGTTCAATACGAGACTTACGTCGTCGGAAATTTCGCAGCAGTTCCGCAACCCTGGGGATATCTTCTCTGTCCTGCTGATTCTCGGCGGGGATGTTGTTTGTCGCGCCATCGCCCAGCTGGCGGGGGCTGGGATCGTCCCCGTCTCGTTTTCTTTCGGTCGGCCATCAATTTGACCTTTAATCCGTCAAGCGTCTGACCTTTGAGTCCAGGATGGGTCGCGTACATTGTGACGGCTCTGCTGACAGCGATCGGTGAGCGACGGCTGATGCCTTACCCCGACAGTCCGTGCCTGGTCATCAACGCCCGGTCGGAATACGTCCGCGAGAACCGCAGCTGGATCATAGGCAGGATAATGCGCGACTTTGAGGTCTGGATGGACGAGGGTCGCTCGGACGGGCCGATCCGTCGCCGCTTGAACCAGATGCTCGATCAACGATGGGAGAAGACTCGTCAGGACGCTGACAAAGTCCAGCCGGGCACTTCAGCGAGTATCCCTAGGCCAACGAAGGCGGGCCTTTGTGTCTCCGTATTCCATGCCGAACAGGCTCAGCCGGGCTATCATGGCTATGATCTGCTCTACTACATGGGGATTGCCACGGCCGTGGTCCAACTTGGGATTGCCGCTATCCCGCTCGGGATCTGGGGCGATTGGGGTGTTTTTCTTGTCACCGCAGCAGGTATTGTTCTCTCGTTTACTACTGCTAGCCTTCCCCAGTGGGCGCAGGAGAAGTGGGCGTGTCGACGCAATTCCCGAAAGACTGTCATTCTCACTCGTGGCAACGGGTCGCAGCATGCGATTGTCATCGTCGGCACTGGCAAGGGGCTTGACTTGGAGGACCTGGCCAGCGGACCAATCGACATGGACGTGTCTCGGGGGTCGTGGACGAGTGTCTCCTTGATGATACTCGCTATCCTTTGGATAGTTCTATTGATCATTGCCGCGGGGTTGCAACAGAGCACATGGTTCCTCCTTGCCACGGGCGGGTTAGGCATAGTCGAGAATATCCTTGTTGCTGGTTGGCCGCGACGGCCAGAAGCTTTTGGTGTTCGTTTGACCTTCAAGGAAGTTATCGGCGAGCCGAGAGTCATGGAGGCGATATTCGCAGTTGAGGAAGCTTACCCTCGCGTTGGTCTCGCGATGGTAGACATCTTCTTCCCTGGTAGATTGTCGCCCAAAGAGAAGGAACGATGGAATGAGCTGCGCCAGCTGGCTGATGCACTCGACGAGTCTCGACGAGAAGACGATAAGACCTCCATCGCGTGTAGCTCAACGTCATAGCCATCTTCATTATGCCATGTCCGAGTAGTTCATGTTAGGCCGTCCAACCGCAGAATGAACGTGGCATTAGATCCTGTGTTGGCATCAGTTCATTGACCATAGTAGAATCCGAGGCGACCTCCAGGGCTCCCCGGGTCAGCTACCCAATTGGGCCGTAGTAGGTAGCGTCCATGCAGAGGAGCTAAATCCTGGCGGCTCGCCCGCCCCACGTCAAGGCGTTCTTCAGCTCCTCACCTTTTCATTCCCCCACTTTCTCGTCTTCAGGCTGAAAGTCGCTTCTTACGAGCATTCGCCATGGACCATGTAGAGTCGCCGCCGGACTCTCCTTATCCTCTCCTGGAAGTTCCATGTCTCAGCGATGAGCCATACGAGCACCACGATTTTTCAACATATCCAGAGCACAAGGGCTGGGACATCAACCGGCTGTTTGATGGCGACTTCACCGAACATGAGGAGGCAGCGCCCTTCCTGCAGAACTGGTTATTCTTCGGCGTCCTCTGGGAGGTATTTGGGCCGATCAACAAGGGAGGGAAGCATCACTACATAAAACAACAGGGAGGTCACCCATACGGCACCATAACCGTGGTCGGTCTAGAAGAACGGATCCTCGAGCTTACGTCGTTTATCTCTGCTCTGATCGGAGGCGGAGAAAAAGCCACTGCTGACCATATTGGCCATCGTATCGAACAATGTCTTCAGACCGTATCGCGGCTCTGTCGAATCGCAAAGTGCGACGGTGACCCTCGCCCGGGGTTTACGACCTGGCCACTATCGCCCGAGATTGATCTCTCAATTCGGACGTTGAGCCAGCGGTTGGCCTGGAGCTTTGCAACGGGCGTTATGCCTTTGGTCTTTGACTCCTACACTGGAGGCTTAGAGTTTCCCTGTGCATGGCTTCCCCTCAAGCGCTTGCAGGACTCGGGGTGGTGCCCAAGTGAGGTGGCCATGGTGGAAGAGACGTTTACATCTGCGTCTGCGTACTATACGTCGCAATTGGAAAGCCCGCCGTCTGCAACGCAGAAGGACCATAGTCAGTGCACCAGGAGTCTGTGTATGGCGCGGCAGCTCAACGAGGAGACGTACCGCACTGCTCATACCACCCCCGACTGCGACTGTTCACACCATGGACCGTTAATCAATGAAGTGACCTCGATCCTTGAGTCGGGAGGCATCCCGCTGCTGTCGATTACACCGATCAAAAAGGAGCCACATATCAGGGTTGCCGTGGAGAAATACACCGAAGGAAAGAAGTATATCGCTTTCTCCCATGTTTGGTCGGACGGCCTGGGGAACCCTTCACAAAATACATTGCCGCAGTGTCAGTTGCTTCGTATTCAGAGCCTATTGGACGAACTGGTCTCCGGGATCAGGTCGGTCGATCTCGTTAACAGGTTAGCATTCCGGGAGCTCTGGAAGAAGAAATTCCACGGTCCATCGCTCCTCTTCTGGATGGACACGATGTGCATCCCCGTGGCCGATGAGCACCGCGAACTGCGCTCGAAAGCGATCAAGTCGATGAAAGCCGTCTACGAGCGAGCGTTCCGCGTGTTGGTGCTGGATGGCGACATCCAATCCTTCTCCTCCAGCGACTACACGCAGTCCTTCATGCGGATTCGGCTTTCCGCCTGGATGCGACGCCTCTGGACCCTGAATGAAGGTGTGCTCGCACACAAGCTGCGCGTCAAATTCGCCGACGGCTTCTTCGACGTCCAAGCCCGATCCAAGATACAGCAGGACGAGGCGTACGACTCTGAGCTGGAGCAAACCAAGTACACATACGGTACACCGATGCGAGATGCAGATAACTTCCACTGGAAGTTCCGTCTCCTCCGCATAAATGTCATTTCCGAGCCGGATCCGCGCATGGTCAGGAAGACGACGTCCGATTCGGCAAGTACCCCCCCTGAAGCCAAACGGTGCTTTGCGATTATGGAGGCTTTTAGTGCAGCCTTGTATCGCTCGACCAGTAAAGAGCGGGACGAGATGCTCTGCTTTGCGAGCTTGATTGGATGGGATATATCCCTGCTCAAGGGTCTACCGTTTGAAGACCACATGCATGCTTTACTCTCGACTGAGAAGCAACTGCCCCAGGGAATGCTATTTCTCGCAGGCCCGAGGATGCGCCAACGTGGCTGGCGCTGGGCAATCAATCGGTTCGGCAATTGCGGGGCGAAACGATTGAAAGTCAAGTCTGACGATATGACGATGGGATTTGTTACGGACAACGGGTTCGTCGTGGAATATCCTGCGCTGGTCTTGCCGCTGAATTGCACATTGGAGAAGCTGGACTGTCTGGCTGTGGACGTTGACGTAGGTAATGGCTTTGTGGGCACGTTTCAAATCACAAGGCACGATGAAGGTTTGGGTGACGCAGAAGGCAAGGCTGAGGCTTATGAGCATGACCATGGTCAGTTGCACGTTCTGTACTGGGACATGACGAAGAAGATGCCTCCCAGATCGCCAATGCCCGCTGCAGTGGTCTCGAGTCCAGCGGGCAAGGGCCTAGCGGAGGGCGAGATGGTGTATCGGTTCGAGTGCCTGGCGTGTGTCGAGATACTGAAGATGAGGCCTGGGAAGTTGCAAGAAAGAGGGAATGAGCTTGCTCAGCTGGTCGAAGGAAAGTGGACCATTCAGTAGCGTCGGTCTTCGTCTGTCCCGCCAATGGAGAAACTGCTGCACTAGAGACATCAGGCTAGAGCAATAGAAACACATGCCAGGCTTGCAATGGCGACAGAAGTCTCAGGAGTATAATCACTCATCACTCCATTAAATGCAGTGTCTCCAGCTTTGGTAAACTTACATGGCATACGTTCGCCATCCGTCGAAATTAAACGGGTATCCCTGCTCTCGAGGACATTTTCGCATCGGCCTAATCACCTCTTTTGACATTCAACTAGCTATAGTCCAGGCAGATAGTCCCATGTTGATTGATTACGCCAAACGCAGTTGTTGAGCCTCATTGAGTCGGGGCAATGTACTCGCTTATTTCAGCGGATGAACACTACGGAGTATCAAGGTGGTATATAACTCAGCTTCACAATATTAGAGTATGCTGACGGGCTCTGAAGATTCCATTCTGCATAGTGAATGGCAAGCTGGGTCTATTTCTGAGCCCCCATACCCAGGTGTATCACGAACTCTGAGTCCTTGACGCCCGACGCCCCGGTTGGAAATTGTCCCACCTGCAGTTCGCTGGGCAGCCCTTCGGGTTCGATCCAAGGACTAAAAACCAGAGACTGGTGTTTCGGCTTGCGAACTAGTACGCAAGAACACGGGATGCCTGGAAATAGGTCCTTGTCTTTGAAGCTGAGCGGTAAAGTAGAGATGCCGATTGTCTGTCGACCGAGGCAGCAAAGGTATCGAAGGAGTCACCAGCTCGATTAATACCCATATCAACGACCCGAGGCTCTCGGCTTCCGGAAAGCCAGGTCTGTAGCCGCAGTTCTTACGCCCTGGCAGCCGTCATCGACGCGTAGAGTCCGGTGTCAGTAGTGATAGGGTGTACGTACGTAGTCATATTCCCATGAAATGGGTGAGCTTGCACAGAAGAGACTGTGGGAATGGTCCATGATGGCCGACGATTCGGATGCCGAGCGGGCACAACAAATCCAGAGTATGCTCATCAAATGTGTCTCATTGGGATGAGAAGTAGCGGGAACAACTTCATTGTCCAATTTCTTATGCTATAAGTACTCTGATCTGCCCTACTCTTGACATCCCATTCACTCAAGCTCGCCAATCTCTTTCAAGTGCTCTACCATTCCAGTCAACCTCATCCATCATCTACTCATCACCCATCACAAAATGCGCTTCAGCATCGTTGCCATTGTCGCATTTGTGGCCAGCTCTACCGCGTTGGACTTTGACGGTCCCGTGTGGAATGCTGTAAACTTCGCCACTGATCAGCAATTCGGCTTCTCGTATGCACTTTCATTTTCACCTTGGACCATCTGCAAGCACGAAAGACTCCTGGTAAAGAAGCAAGTGCTGATTGAGTATTTGTTGCATAGAACTGTCAACACTGATCCCGCGAGGTTCTATCTTTACCTCAAAAACCCCGATTCATCCATATGCCGGGAGGTTGGTGAGAACAACGCAGTGGACACCAGCCAGCCTGGCTCTCATACCCACACAATCGTCCGGAACACTGTTCAAGGAGGCCATATAGCCGCTGGGTATGTGTCCACCTTATGTGGCTAAGCTAGCACCTACTATCCGCACAGAAATACTGACGGACCGTTCCACTTGTACAGCGAGAACTTCCAGCTTGTCTTTTCCCCAAATACAATCAGCAACGGAGGCGGGTGTAGCCAGCCTGGCTCCACGCCAAATCATACCCCCAATTATTACTCTGACCCGTTCTCGATCGTCGATTACCAATAATGATTTATAGGCCTCGTCTTGGAGCGAAGGATCATGTTGCCTGTTGGCAAGGGCGGGCTGATATTCGGGTGACTTCATGACGCGACCTATGTGTCGGTTTCTTCTGTGGCGTCAATGTCTAGTATGTACCAGCCTTGGCTTAGGTTTTCTCCTGGTCAAGTTCAGGTTTTCCCTATGCTGTTATGTGAATGCAGAGGCTTCTTAGTTTTGCAGAAAGTCGATATGTTTATCTTGTTGTGATTTGCCTCATTGCTCTGAAGTGAAGATAGCCTGCAGTAGTGGTAGAAAGTATGGTAGTTGCAGATATGGCCGCTGGGAAGAGGAATCGGGGAATACTGCGTTACATCTTAGTAGTACTGCTATCTATCACATGGCTGTTGTGTTGTTCCAGTTTGTCTCTGCTGGCGTCCCACCTCAACATTGGTGTCCCGGTACAACGTCTCAGAACTACCATAACTTACTAGTATACGTAAAGAACTTTGACCTCCCAAGTGCCATATGATTGTGATCAACATCCTTGAATCCACGCGGGTATTTCTCCCGCAGTATTCAGAGCTCGCTGTAATTCATCGCTGAATCTACCTTGTCCGTTACACTCCTATGCAGCTCTCCCACAACACGGCTTTTTCTGGATATATAAACATCCTGCATATCCTGCAGCTCTGCCGGACCCCTCCCGTCTTGACCAACCCCTTCCGAGAAAAGAAAGAGCCACACTGCACCACCAACCACTTAACAAGACAATGAGCACCAAACTCATCCTCTTCTTCCTATGCTCAGCTGCTCTCGCCGCCAAAAAGATAGCCGGAGGCTCCGAAGTCAACATCTCCAACTTCCCCTACCAAGTCAGTATCTTCGTTGATGACGCCTTCTCCGGCAGCGGCAGCATCATCGACGGAACCCACATCCTCACAGCAAACCACATCCTCGCCGGCGTCCCAGCCAATGTATCAGCCATCCGCGCCGGGTCGTCCACCTGGGCCTCAGGCGGAATCCTAATCAACGCCTCAACCATCACAACGCACCCCTCCTTCGGCAAACCAACCATAACAGAGAACGACGTGGCAATCATAACTCTCTCGGAAAGTCTCCCTTTGGGCCCAGAAATCCAGCCCATCCCACTCCCCATCTCGGCGTCCGAGTTGGAGTCCGCTCCGCTCGCGACCGGTCTTGAGGTCTTGGTCTCCGGCTGGGGCGCTATCAAGGAGGGCGGGCTTCCCATGTTGACGCTGCGGGCTGTGAATATCACTGTTTCGGACCACACTGAGTGTGCGGCTACGTATGATAGTCCTGCCTACAAGGTCACGGACAGCATGTTCTGCGCGGGCGTTGCGGGTGGTGGGAAGGCTGCGTGCCAGTTTGATAGTGGGGGCCCTGCGGTTGCCGATGGGGTGCTGGTTGGGATTGTCTCGTGGGGAAATGGTTGCGCCAGGGCAGGGTATCCTGGGGTCTATACCAATGTGGCTTCTTTTAGGGGGTGGATCACGCAGGTGACGGGCATTTAGGGCGCACGAGGCTCTGCATACAGAGCTAGGGACGTCATCATGCATTGGACGAGGGCACTATGTGCTAAGGCATGCTAGGATCCCGAATCATGGCTGTGCATTTTGTCTTTGACAGACTGTGTAGAATGTAGCCCTGGAGTGCCCAGGGTATCTGGAGAGTGGGGCCAGTCACGTGCTGATACGATATCGGCGTGAGTCACATGGGAGGGGCTCCAGCTCAAAAAGATTCCCGTCCCTCATTTTCCTCTTGAACAGGCTGCCAAACAGGTCAATTGAACCCTTCCAACCATGAAACGAGAGGATCTCACATACCTGGGTGCTGGGCCCGCCGCCCTCCCCACAGACGTCCTTGCGATCGCCGCAGAGGCTCTCCAGAACTATGAGGAGACCGGATTGTACGCACTGCTTCCACTTATCGATCAAGAGATCCAGGTTAGCTGACTTTATTTTCAATCGCGTAGGGGCGTCGCAGAGCACAGCCACCGCAGCGAACTGGCGTCTGGTATCCTGAATACCATGAAAGCGGACCTCGCGAAATTCCTCGATATCCCCGACGACTTTGAGATTCTGATCATGCAGGGTGCGATCACGACCGATTTCGGCGCGATAGGATGAACATGCTGACGGACGGATTATTAGGTGGTGGGTCGGGCCAATTCGATGCGACAGCGTATAACCTCACGGCGATCTGGGTTGAGAGGCAACGACAGAAGATCTTGAAGGAGAAGGGCGAGATCTCCGAGGAGGAAGTGATCGCGGAATTGCGCAAGAAGGTCGAGTCCGAGCTGAAGTTGGACTACTTGGTTACTGGATCGTACGTGGCCCTTCCCGACCGACTCATGGGGAGGAGGAGGTTGACTAATGCAATGGACTTGCAGATGGTCGCTCAAGGCCAGCCAGGAAGCCGTCCGAATCTTCGGCCCCGAGTACGTGAATGTCGCTAGCGATGCCCGCACAGCCAACGAGGGCAAGTTCGGCAAGATCGCAGATGAGTCGACATGGAAACTCAGCCCCAAGGCTGCTATGGTGTACCTCTGCGAGAACGAGACCGTCGACGGCGTCGAATACCCTTCTTTCCCCAAGGTTCTCGAGTCCAAGGGCTCAGAGGACGACCCCATCGTCATCGGAGACTTTTCATCAACGATCCTCTCACGACGGATACCCTTCGAAAACTTCTCGATTGTGTACTTCGGTGCCCAGAAGAACCTCGGCATGGCTGGTATCACTGGCGTCATTATCCGCAAGAGCCTCCTCCCGCCTAATGCTCCTCCCGCCTCGCCCGCTATCCTGCGCAAGCTCGGACTGCCCGTTGCCCCTACTATTCTCGATTACTCCGTTGCCCACAAGAACAACTCTCTCTACAACACCCTTAGCATCTTCGAGTAAGACCAACCCCCGTTATAATCTGCCAACCACTTAGCTAACCCCTTCTCTAGCGTATACGTGGCCGGCCAAGTCATCAAGAAGCTCCTCAACGACTTCCCCGACAAGGTCGACGGTCAGCAGGTCGTCGCCGAGCGGAAAGCGCGCAAGGTCTACGAGGCCCTGGAGGCTTACCCTGATGTCTACAAGATTGTTCCCGACAAGGCCGTGCGCTCGCGCATGAACATCTGCTTCCGGGTCGTCAAGGTAAGCATTGCCGACTCTGTCTTTCAAACGAATCCTGACGAACTTTCCTTTAGAACGGAAACGTCGACGAGTCCGAAAAGACCTTCCTCAAGGGAGGCACCGAGCGCGGCATCACCGGCATGAAGGGCCACCGGAGCGTTGGAGGTGAGTTTCCCTTGCCCCTGTTGTATCAGGTTCTCGAATCTTGCTAACGAGACGTATAGGTATCCGCGTCTCAAACTACAACGCCATCCCCGAGTCTGGGATCGACAAGCTGGTTGTATACCTCAAGGAGTTCGCTACGTTATAAATGTACATGTTACGAAAAGTGCAACAAAAAGGTCCAGCGGTTTCAACGTGCTGGACTGGATGATTGGTTTATGATTCAGAAGCGATGGAGGCTCAACCTTCCGACAATCTCATCTCATGTCTTACCTTCCCATGTCTTTCTTGTAGTATAGTTTTTATATATGCTGCCGTATCGCATCGACGTCTTAGCCACCGGAGGGCAGCGAGATCTTCCTACCAAGTGGATTCCGGCTACCTACCACCCTCGTCCAGGAACTGCCGGGGCTATGGCCGTTCTTTCGATTTGCCTTCCTAGCTCTTTACCCTAATATCTGAGGTATTTGAGCCCTTGAGTAAATCCTCGCTTTTGATTCGTCCAAGACAGCAACAGTGGGGTAGGCACAGCTGTACCTTGGCGGCATCTCCGGCTGAAGCTCCCACCTACAACCCCCATACCTGCTTGCGTTGTATATAACCCAGACACGTACGCTACCCCCCGAGGTCAAAACCGAACATATACCAAAATGGCCGTCATCGCCGTCGCAGGCGGCACAGGCGGCGTGGGCAAGACAATCGTCGACGTCCTCACGCAAGAAGCAAAGCATGAAGTCATCGTTTTGACACGAAAGGCAATGTCACTCTACGCATTCATCTATCGAAACCCCTCTAACGGACCTCAGATCCAAGAAAATAGCCCCATCCTCTCCCGCGCAAAGCAGGTAGAGGTGAACTACAAGGACGTGTCCGCTCTGACCCAAACCCTGAACGAGCACAAAGTACACACCATCATCTCCGCGATCTCGCTGTACAGCGAGGACGACAGCGAGGCCCAACTGAACCTAATCCGTGCTGCGGAGGATGCACCCGAAACAAAGAGGTTCATGCCGAGCGAGTACTCGTTCATCCAGACGGAAGAGTATGCCCACGCCACCCATCCCGCCCGAATAAACTAACCAGCACAGCCTCCTCCCCCTGGACCCAAGCATAAAGTACTTCCTGGACGCCGCGAACCTGCTGAAGTCAAGCAGGCTGCACTACACGCGCGTGATCCCCGGCTTCTTCATGGACTACTGGGGCATGCCGCACACGAAGACGAATCTGTCGCCCATGACGATCGCCGTGGACATGGGCAGCTGCGAGGCGGCGATACCCGGCGACGGGGACGATGGGATTGCGATGACGTACTCGTATGATATGGCGCGGTTTATTGCGCGGTTGCTGGAGACGGACGCGGAGGGGTGGGGGGAGTTTAGTGGTGTTGTTGGGGATCGGGTTACGTATAACCGGCTTGTTGGGATTGGGGAGAAAATTCGGGGTGAGTGTAGTCTGCGTCATTGGCCTACAGGAGTAGAGGTCCTGGTGGTATGCCCAGTTGCAGGTGCTGACGTATGTAGGCCGCAAATTCAAGGTGGTCTATGATAGTGCGGACAAGGTGAAGCAGGGCGCCGTTACTGTTCCGAGGCAGCCTGTGGGAAATGGATATAGCCAGGAGGACATGGTTGAGGCGACGGCGCTCATGGACCGGCTTGTCATTGGGAAGGTGTTTGAGTTTCCGGCTGCGATTCAATCGAAGGAGGGCGAGGTTCTGGATTTGGTCAAGGTTGAGCAGTTCGTGAGGGAGGCGTGGGACGGGAGGGCGTAGGGCATGAGTGAGCCTAAGCGTGGCTACACTGCAAAAGCTACTGGGCCGCTGCTCGGTAGTTACAGCATGAATTACAGTACACATGCCTCTTCAGTAAGTTCTAATTGAATATTACATTTATGTCTCACTGTATATATGTGAACACAAGCGACCACCCTTTCTCAGTCTGGAAAAATAAGGAAGCTGACAGGTATAGACACAATAAACAACTTTCCGCACTCAACTGCCCCAAAACCTGAAAGAATATCTAAGTAGAGGGATGATGCCGAACATGAGGGCGACAAGGACAGAATGTACAAGGCACATTGGTAATGGTGGATGAGCATGTGAAATGAGGCCTCCGTGGTACGGCCAAGTACTTCAATGTGACGCTACGAAGCAAACTTGAAAGTTATGGTCCAGAATGGCAAGATTGGGTCACCAGAACCACAAAGGTCATGGCCGTGGCCAGTACGGTGAGGATGAGCAGATTACCCCAGAAGAAGGGTCAGGGCGCTAGAGTTTCTGTTGGCACCTCAGGTCGAAATCCCGCTCCACTGGATTTGTAGGTTTCGCAGCAGCTGAGAAGGGTACCATCAGTGCAAAAGCGCTTCGCTGTTAGGCCGGTGTCAGCTTGTCCGATTGATGCAAGTGGCTTGTCGCGATCGGTTGGGACAAACTTGCTCAGTAGAGTCTGGGCAAAAAAGTGAAAACCTCTCGCTGGCGGCCAGAGGTTTGTCAACAACACGAGCCTCCATAATAGCTCTGAGAGCGTGAGCTGGAACCGTGTCGACATCGAGGTGGAGGGTGAACCACTGTAAGAGCGGACTGGGTGTCGGATGATGGTGAGAATTAGGAAGATGGCTATGAGCACGTCGTATAACTCGGGAGTCTTTTCGACAGTATCCGTCGGAGTAAGGAGTGTGGGGGATTAGGGCTCACTGTGTGTAGAAGCCGAATGTTTTCTGATGCAGTGGCCCAATGGTGCAAACAGTCCAAGACGGATGGAGTGGTTATGGTAGTGTCTTGGGAGACACCTTTCGCGCTTCATACTCAAGCTTGCAAGTATTAGCAGACAGAGGATTGCAGAGTCCTTGGTAGAGCTTGAGCTCTATCGATGTGTTCGTCAAGCTTCAGTCTCCCGTCATTCCGGGATCGACGAGACGATGGATAGGACAAGATGATGCATGGGTGATGCTTCCAAAGGCATAGAAATGTCGGGTAGCCACAGGTTGGCTGGAGTGGCTCTCGAAAATTGTGATGCGTTTAGTATACAAGAAGGGAGAGACGCAGTCTTGTTGAGGCTTCAAATAAGGTAAAAAGCGATCCATTGCACGCAGTGGTCCAGAAGAATGTGTATATCTTGTCTTGTTCTCCGTCTCAATTTCCGACAAGATGTGCTTGCTGGCTATCGTCGGCCATGGTTCAGATATAATGTGGCTGTTTGTGGGAGGCGTTGTTGAGTGAATCCCAGCGACACATCACGTCGCAAGCTGGGGTAAGGACAAAAGAAACAGACCGTGGGCGACCGTGGTCAAAACTCCAATCAAGGCAGCAACTAAACTACAAACTAGTTCCTTCTCTGACCGTGGTCGAAATCAGTCATCAGTTGAGGAAGGCGCCCATCCGGCTCGTAGATACCATGCTCCTTGATGCAACAAGCACACTCCGCAGTACAGTGGCCATAGACGTGCACGAGCTCCTTGTGCTCACCAGATCGGACGTAGAACTGGTCAAGGGGTTTCTCACAGCAGCCACAAGTACGCCCACAGCAACCGCCACTTCGACTGCAGAGTTCGGTTTTTTTATACCACCGATGGGGGCGTCCTTCCCGGTCCACTCCCTTCTGGTATAGATTGTGGAGCTTTATGGCCGCATCCTTTCTCGAGCCCTGCCATCTCTTCCATCTCTCAAACATGTCGCGTTGGAGTTCACGACATTCAGCACCCAGCTTATTGATTTCCCGTTTGCGGTCCGCTTCTATGGTCGAGCTCGTAATCCCCGGGTATCTTGGTGGAGGATCCATCTGATTCGGGGACTCATATTGCGTAGTGTAAGCTTGATCAACAGGCAGCCTGTCATAAGAACAAGAATCGCTGCCGGATTGTTCTAGGCGGCGCTTTCTTTGCAGTGTAGCAACGAGTTCTTCTGTAGAATCTTCATACCAATCAACGAACTCCCGAGATTCTTTATAGCGCGAAGCACGAAGCCATTCGATTTTAAGGCAATTCCATCTCCTCTCCAAATGGTCGATGAACTGCTCTCGATTCTCTTCGCGGGAGAAAAGCCTGGCTAGGATTTTGAAGCACATGTTGAAAGAGCCGTTCTTAACGAGTGCGCTGGTTGAGAAATTTGAAGCAGTTGCAGGATTGGTAGAGAGCAGAGTTGTGAGAGTTGCGAGATCAAAAGGAAAGGCTCTATAAAGACGAATGATGAGTCAAGTTAGACTTTACCAGGAACATCACCAAGCACAATCCGTGATTTCCAACGACTCATATCTTCGAATGACGTTGATGGTTCGAATCACAAACCCGTGTGAGTCTAAAACAGCTGCCGGTCGAGGGAGCAGGCATGTCGAATTATGGAACCTCATGAGTCTGCTTTTTCGAATGCGAGTCTAGCGAACACAAGGTTCACGTACGCGATAGAAGCTTGATCGGATCGATGACCGAGGACCCTAGTAACTGTGAGACATTGCAATTTTCAAATATACCTATCGGCATGAGACATCACGTAGCAAAAAACACGTATCCAAGGGATATTCCACGAGGCAGCCATGCTACCTTTAGATAGTGCAACCCCTGGGCCACAACCTGCAAGGTTGCCCTTCGGCGGCACGTTGCGGTACTTGACCGTTATCTTATAAATCCTATCCTCGCAACTGTCGTTCTCGGTTATATGTGTCCCTAGGGTTGTTTTGACATGCTTGGTTCCTGATGTGAGGGTCATGAAGTGTGAAATATTGTTTGATCCCTTAACTTTCAAGAACATGGTCTGTTGTAACATATGATATATTAAGACACGGAATGTAATGCTTCATTGAAACTTCCACACAATCACTTGTTCTATAGCTCGTGCCATTAATACCAGGCAGCGGCCAACTATCCACTATATTGGACTTTGTTTCTTTTTCTGCAGCTAGAGCTAGAGCTCATGCCGTGGCCTCGTACTTTGTGGTGGAGTGCGGGGTGGCCTCGACCCCGGAGACTTCATCCGGCCTATTGCGCTGTCGCCTGCCATCTTCCTGTTTCCAAGGTTGACCGAGTCCCTTCCTTGTTTCGGTCCGCTTTGTCTCTCTTTTGTTCCAGTAAGCGAGCATGGGAACTTAAATCCGACCTTTTGGGCCACGATGTGGTCTGACGTTGCCCGGTGTCTGTGCGTTCCTGCGGTGATTCCAGGGCAGCTGCCCGCATGTAAGGTGCTGGAGCCTGCCACACTCCAGTCTCCAACCAGACACGTCGTCGGAGAATTCACGCAAGGGGTAATTCTTCTCCCTTTCTCTTTCTTCCTCCTCTCCATCCTCCTCAACCTTAGCGTCACTTCCCTATGTGACGCAGTGATATCCTACGGCTGCTCTGGACTTGGTATGGGGAGCTCTATCCAGCTTCCCACCAGCTACACCTGCCAACTCAGCCGTCGTTGGACGCCGTACGGGAATGATTGAAGGAATCCTCCTATTTAAACCGTAAGCTACGCATCTCATTTCTCTGTCTTTTGAGGTCACCGCTAATCCTTGCTTCCGTCCAGCGTCGAGAAAAAGCCTGCCCACAATGGCAACCACCGCCGAACACCCGGTCCGCCCCCACGAGCCCACCAACTGCGCCCTTACCCAGAATAACTCCGCGTGCGAGTCCTGTATACTCTTCCGACTGTCGAAATGGCTCTGGTCATGCCGGAATACCCCGCCTCCTGATGTTGAAGAAAGCGTGAAACCCGTGGAGGACGAAAGCACCAAGAGCTCGTTCCCCTGTCGCGCTTGCAAGATGTCGGGCGAGGAATGTGATCGCCAGACACCGCGATGTGCCCACTGCCTCGACCAGCAGATCCTTTGCTTCTACGTTGAGCCTCTGAGGATTACAATGAAGCGGGCTAAGCAGGCGAGGCTGGAGGCACGGCCGGAATCGGTTACGTCATGTTCGTGATCAAACAGTCAGAATGAATACCTAGCGAGGGGATGAGGGGTTCGGTATTTCTATCAACTGCGAGGATCGGGCTTTCGCTTGGAATTGGAGAGTGTCAAGTGGTGGTAATTCCTGCTTGCTACATGCTTTGATTGCACGTCTTTTTCTTTCTTTCGCAGGAACTTGTGTATACACGTCCTTGTAGGACTATGCTTCCAAAGGCTGAATAGACATGGATTACGGTCGGTTTTGTGATAATGAGGTCTACGGAATTGCTCGATAGCTAGATTGCAACGTATAGATCAGTCAGATATATGGATAGACAGTGTTATATCATGCCGGGACACCCTCATCGGTTGCGCATGCTTCAGCCATGCTCGGAAGCCAAGATCGTAGCAATCACCAGATTTACCCCTAGAGGCTCGTTTATCTCCTGCATTCAGACAGATTTGGGATCTCTTTACCCCGGCACATTAGAACTTCGCCGCCAGTTCAAATGCATCCAATCCAAGGTTACGTCATGATGTCACCTACGTATCCCTCAGCGGAACATCCGACACCACTTCTCATGAGATGAATTATCATAACTATCATCACAGCTGGCCTAATTCATTGAAGATAAAAACAGTGCTCCAAGCCCACCCTTATCCATCCACACCTTCACGTCTTCTCCCCAGAACTGCGGGGTCCTCCACACCAAGAATGGCGGGGCAAACCCACGACGGCCTAGAACGACGATCCGTCGTCTCCTCCTTCATCTTCCACTTCCCAACCTCGATATCCGACCAGCCCCTGGTCGCCCTATTCCGACGGAGCGATAAAGTGAGTACATACAAGTAAGCGCTCATCTCTTCTATACCCCTGGGCTTCGCAGCTCACCACGAAGAAACCACATCGCCCCGATCTCCGGCACAATCTCCCGCTCCGACGCCGACCCCCTCACAGCCGCATGGCGCGAGCTCTCGGAAGAAACAGGCATCACTCCATCCTCCGCGACATTCTGGCGAGTCGGGAAGCCGTTCTCGTTCGTTGATGAGTCCGTGAAGCGCGAGTGGACGATCCACCCGTTTGCGTTCCAGCTTAAGGGGACGGCGGTGGGGTTGAGGCGGGACAGCGCGATCGAGCTTGATTGGGAGCATGAGGGGTGGGAGTGGTATGATCCGGCGGAGGTGTTGGGTGGGAAGGGGCTGAAGGAGGGGGATAGTGAGGTTCCTCATCTCAGGGAGAGTTTGAGACGGGTATGGCTGGAGGGCGAGCTGAATGAGCAAGCGGGGAAGACTTTGCGGCGCGGGCTGGAGAAGCTGCAGAAGGACCATGAGAGCGGGTCGCATGAGCTGACTTCTATTGCGTTGCGGGTATTTCGGGATGTCGTTGAGCATATGCGGGATGGGATGGGGGGTGCCAAGTGGTGGGAGGATGTGCAAATGGCTGCGTGGCATGTTGTGAAGAATGGGAGGGAGAGTATGGGCACTGCGACGCTGAATGCGCTCCTTGCGATATTGGAGGAGATGGAGGAGGTTTGGAGAATGGATTCTGAGAGGATCGACTCCGATGCGGAGTGGAAGCTTGAGCGTATGCTCACGATTATCGATCACCATTTGAAGGGCCGGACAAGTCGCGCTGGTCTAGTGAAGGACACCTTTGTGACCTATGTGAAGGAGCAATTCCTGTCCGTTTACCAGACAAGAGACAAGCTCACGATCCTGCCGCTGTCCGCGAGCTCAACGATCCGTGATAGCATCGTGGAAGCCTTCGCTTCACTGGAGATCGGCACGCTCGAACTGCGCGTTCTCGAATCTCGCCCTCTATTCGAAGGCGTGAGCATCTCATCATCCATCCTCTCCAACTTCAAAGCCAGTTGCAAAGATCCAAGTAAGCATCTCCGCATCCAGATCTACACCGACGCCTCTGCGGCCGTTGCCGCAAAAGACGTGGACATGGTTCTCCTCGGCGCAGACCGCATCTCCATCTCCAACGGCGTCAGCAACAAAACCGGTTCTCTCCCTGCCGTGCTGTCCGCCAAGCATGTCTCCCCGAACGCGAAGATCGTCGTACTAAGCGAATTGGAGAAGGTTAATGGGCAGAACGGTCTCATAGACGACTCGAAGCATGAGGATAACGACCCAGCCGAGCTCATGAGGTCGTGGCAGAACGAAGAGGTGAAGGGCGTTAAGGCTGTCGATGAAGCTTTCTGCAGCGCTGTCAGGTCGGAGAAGTCGAATTATTGTGTTGAGGTGAAGAACGTCTATTTTGAGTGGATTCCGCTGGACTTCGTTGATGACTTTGTTAGCGGCGAAGGCATTCTCAGCCATCGCAAGATTGATGAGAAGGCGAGACAGCAGGATGAGTTGGCGAGGAGGTATTTTGGGAGTATCTCTGTTAGGTACTAGTTATACTTTATTCAAGCAATCCTGCCTTGGTGGCAGACTTGAAATTGTTGGTTGGCACTTCTACCTAGGTTTCTGAGGCTAGACCGAGACCCTGAAACCCGCTCACTTCAAGAGTAGTATATCTGCTCAACGCGACTTAGACATCAGACGCGCTGTTGCCATGACAGTCAACGCGTCAACTCGAGTCAATGACTCGCCCGCTCATCCTTGTCTTCCTCGCCCCTCTTCCAACTCTATATGCCCATCAACCCTCGCACGATGCAACGCCAACACCAACCATGACATCCATCACAATCGCCGCTAAATCCTCCCTCTTCGAACCAGCGCACGCCCCTCTGACCCCTTTCACACGCACCCAATGGCGTCACGCCCTACGAGAAATAAAGCTGCTGTACGTCCAGAAGCAGTACAAACGATGCCTCGCCCGTTCGTCGTCTATTCTCGCGGGGGCGAGGGAGCCTGTACGTTCCCGTGCCCAATCACCTACCTCCTAGGACTATTTGAAAGATGCTGACGAGATGGATGGGTCCTTTGCAGATTAACTCCATTTACAAACTCTACTTGCACTTCTACAGCGCTATTTGCTACGAGGCGATGGGTTTGTACGCGCACGATTACTCGAGTAAGAAGGTGCCGCTGCTCAGAGAGGCGTTGGGGTGCTTTGCGGCTTGTTTGAGTGCGTTTCCGGTGGAGGTTGAGGTGGAAAGTGAGCTTGAGGTTGAGCTTGGGCAAGCGGTGCTTGTGCGGAGAGATTCGGGGGTTGGGTTTGCCTCCCATGATGAGGTTGAGTGCGACTTTGGTCCGGGCTACAAGGGTGGGGATAGCGACGACGTCTTCGGGAGTGAGACTGGGATTGAATTGAGCGCCGTTGGTGAAGATCCGGAGGAATCTCCCTCTCTCTCGCCCTCCCCGTCTTCATCTTCTACGCCTACTCCATACGCGTCAACCGTCGGCTCAAGGTCAAGATCGAGATCAATCTCCCCGGCCGATACCATCGTGACCAGCATCACGGATTTCATTGACAGGACCCTCGATTGTCCTGACGACGACCCGTTCCTAGCAGACTCGGACTGTGAGGATCCCATCAGTCTTGAGCTCGGCGTCGACAGTGAAGACTTCGAGGCTATCCATATCCTCGACGAGAAAGATCCAGGTCAGGGTCAACCACTTGTTCCTTCGCCCCTACAAGTCCGCAAGTCGAAAACCGCTAGACCCCTCTCGCTCTTCCTGCCATCCCTTGATAACCACCATAGGAAGGAAAATACAAATGCATTCATGACCCCACAGAGCGAGTCTTACGCTGCAGCCGCAATGGAACTTAGTACCCGAGCACGGGCACGTCCTCTCCCATCTCTCCCTATCGCCTGCTCCAAATTCAATACCGATCCGTCTAAGCGAAACACTATTACCCCTCCCCCTCCCCCTTCCCTCTCTCTAAACGCACACATCCACGCCTATAACACCTCCCTCTCCTTCCTGCACACCCAAATAAGCAGCACAATCACACATCTCCAGTCTCAAATCCAGGACGTCACAGCCCTCCAACAAGCCCGCGCCACATCCCGCCGAAGCGGGAATTTCCAGCGCTCCGCATCCTTCTGGTCGTTTAGCCCTGTCAAGGACGGCACTTCCTCGCGCCGGAACTCTTCATATACGCAAGATAGCGGCGTCTCGTCGTCCAGACGCGAGGGTATCGCGGACCGGATTTCGAGACTTCGCGCGGAGGGGTGGGATACCGTGGGCTTGAGGAACCCGGGGCGCGGGTGGAAGGGCGAGGAGTATTATCGCGAGTTCTGTGGGATGGCGCTTGATGAGCTTTATCTTGGGTGATTTTGTTTTGCATTGCATTGGGTGGGTAATGATGGTGTTGGGCGGTTACTTTGGGGCGTCGTTGGTTTGATTCGGTGTTTGGTAAGGGACGGAGCATGTGAGGGTGTTTGTTGCTTTTCATGTCTTTTTTAGGACGGCGTTGATATTTTCCATCTGGTTTCCTGGTGGTGTTGGTTCTGGGTTTAGGTGTTGGGGTAGTTTCGAGCGTTGTATCTATTTGTGTTCTTCTCGATGGGGGTGTTAGGGTAAGAAGGGCAAGAAAGACATCCGATTTGTGTCGCAGCTTGCATTATCTGGAAACGTAGAGGAAGGCTCCATGTCTTAAGCGAGAGTAGGAATTAAATGGAGGGAGTTGTGCACCTTCCCCGGATCAAGCTTCCAGATGCGGTAAGTTATGTGAGAAGCCTCGCCCGAGTGAGGGTCTTTCGGAGTTACGGATGCCTCAGGCAGAAATTGGTTATGTGAGATTAGGATAAGAATTAAGGGGTAAATAAAATATAAGATTTCTTAGGATTTAAAATAAATAAGGATATAAAAGTTTAATAGCTAAATATAAAAGAATTTAAGCTATATTTATTTTTTTTTTATATTTTATTTTTTAATTAGGCTATAAGATCTAGCTAAAGTTAAAGGTTAATTTTTTTTTATTTTTAAAGGTTAGTTAAAGTTATTTAATTAAGTTTACCGCGAAAATTTAAAAAATCTTTACCTTTTATTTAATATACCCCCTAGCGTTTAAAAAAATAAAAATACTAATATTAAGTATTAAAAATAACTTTAATTTTAATAAGGCTAAGTTAGTAAATAAATATTTTATAGCATGGGTTATTAAAAAGTTTAATAAACTTATTTACTAGTTAATTTTTTATTTTTATTTAATTAATTTTAATTTTTTTATTTTAATACTTCTCGCGAAGCTAGTAATAATAAATATTAATATATTAAAGTTATATAATAAATATAAGGTTATTTAAGTTAAGTAATTATATAATTTAAGTATTATTATAAAAAAAATATAATTTAACCTTTAAATTAAACTTTATAATATTAAAAGGTTTTTTTTATTATATAAGGTTTTTTACTCCCTTAGTAATAATAAGTAATTTAGCTTTAATAATAAAAATAGTAACTATTTTTTATTTATAAGTATTTTAATTAATTAGACCTTTAAATAACTTTATAAGCTATTTATTAAAGCTATATTAATTAAAATTATTACTAAAAAAAGTATTAAATATTATAGTAATAATTTTTTTAATATTAGCCAAGTATTTAATTTCTAGGTTTTTTATAATAATAAAATATTAAATAATATACTTAGCTATTTTAATATAAGCTTTAATAAGTTATATTATATACTAAGCAAGCTTACTAGTTACTTTAAAAGTATTAAGGCATGTTATTATAATAAAATAAAAAATAAGCTAATAAGTTATTAATATAAAAAAAATATTTTACTTTATAAATATATAATTTAAAGGCGCAGGTATTAATTTTTTAATAAATAAAAGTATTTTTAATATTTTATTTAGTATTATAAGGTTATATTTAGCCTGTAAATTATTAATATAAAAATCTTAAAATAATTAAATTTTTTAATTATAATAATTATAAATAATTTTAATATTTAAAAACCACTTTACTTTACTAAAATTTTATAATTTATATATATATTTTATATATTTAATAAAGTTAATAACCTTTTTTTTAGCTTTGGCTAATCTTTTACTTATAATAAGTATATTATTAATAAAAAAAATAATTATAAAATACTTTATAATATAAAAATAAGGCTTTTTTAGCACTAGCTTAAAGCTATATTTAAAAAGTATTAAAAATATTTTTTTTTATTAAATACATGGTAATTATTTAAGGCTATATAAAGGTTAATTTAATTTAAATACTTTGCTTTTAACACGCCAGGGGCCGGGTGGTATTTTAATATATATTTTTTTATTTATAAAGCTTTAAATAAAGGTGTTAATAATATTTAATTAAATAATATTAAAATTAAAATAAGCAACAAGCGCTATTATAAGTTAAAATAATTAAGTAATAAAAGTTATTATTATAATATTAATATAATTACTAAGTTAAAAATCTTTTTTAGTATAAAGGCGCACTTTAAATTTATTTAAATAACTAGTAATATTAAATTTATATTTAAATATTTATATAAATAGTATAATAATCTTACTTTTTAATATAAAAATAATTTTAAAGGTATAAAGTTTTTTAAAAGTACTAAATTTAACTTTAATAGCCTTTATAAACTAGTTTTTATATAAATACTTTATAAGTTTTGCCTAGTTTTTTAGTTTTTTTTAAAGTTAATTTTAATAAATAACTTTATTTAGTATCTCTTGCAATAGTCCGGGAGGCTTAAAAATTATTAAATAAAAAAAAATATAATATTTAGTAAAGTTTTTTACTAGCTAGTAAAAAAGTTTAATATAAAAAACTTTAAAAAAAGGCCTTTATCTTAGGCAGTTTTTATTTATAAAATTTTTTAAATCTTACTTTTAATATAAGTAGTTATATTAGGCCTTTTTATTTAATTTAACTTACATAGTTAAAAATCTAAAATTAAAATTTTATTCCCCTTTTTTTGTATTAGTTTTATATGGTTTTAGGTTAAATTTAATAAAAAAAAGTAGTATTAATATTTCTTTTTTATTATTATTTTTATTTATATTATTTTCTGGTTATAAAAGCCCTCTAGCACTATTATTTTTAAAGTTAAAAATTTTTTTATTTTTCTTGCTTTTTATTACCTAGTTAGGTATTATTAAAATAATTTTATAGTTATTATAGGTTTAAAAGCTTTAATTAACTATAATACTTACTAAGCTTGGGCTAGTAATAAAAGTAAGTAAAATTATAAGGTTTTTATTATTATATAATATTAAATTACTAAGTAAATTAAAAATAGCTTTATTTTAAGCATTAATTTTAGTATAAAATTTATTATTTTTAACCTTTTTATTCTTACTTATTTTTATATTATTAGGCTTGGGAGTAAGCTTATTTTTATTATTAAGTTTAAAAAAATTATTTTTAAAGCTAATAAAAAATAGTATATTAACTAGTTTTTTTTTTTTATTAATATATACTAGGATAGTGTATCTTAAACTAGTTATATAAATTAAGTTATTTTTATTATAGGTTTTTATTTTATTAAATACTATATTTTTTATTTAAATAACTAAATATTATGTGGCTTTAGCACGAGGGTTTTAAATTTTTTAAATATTATAAGCTTTTTTATATTTATAAAAATATTTAATAGCTGCTTTTAGCTTTATTTTATAAAAGTTAGGGATTTTTAGCTGCTAATAAGCAAGTAATTTAAACTTAAAAATATTAATTATATTTACTAGGTAAGTATTACTTATTAGCATTTAAAACTTTTAAAGTAATATAAATTATTTATTTTTTTTATTTTTTATAAGCATGTAATTTAATATATAAATAAATACTTTTATAGCTTTAAATATAAGATTTTAAGGTATATTAATAGCTAATAAAAATACTTTAACTTTTTATAAAATAATTTTTTTTAATTACTTGCTTGCGCTGTTTTATTTAAGTATATTAAAAATAATAGTTTTAAAGGCTAAACCTTATTATTTTTTAATAAATTTAAAGTTATTTAAAAGTTATAATATCTTATTATTTATATAAAAAAACTAAATATAAAGGCTATATTACCTAAAAATATAGGTGTTAAGTAATTAAACAGCACGCTAGTAATTATTTTTTTTAGTATATAGTATTATTTATTTTATTTAGGTAGTATTATTTAAAAAATAAAAGGTGTATTTTATATTATTTTAAGATACTTTAAAAATAAAAATATTAAAATAAATTTTTTTAAAGGGTTAGGTTACTTTAGTTAATTTAATTTATAATATTTACTTAAAAAATTATAATAATTTACATGGCGTGTAAAGTAGTTTTTTTTCTTACTTTTTATTAAAAAGCTAAGGCGTTAAATTAATTTATATATTAGTTATAAATATTAAAAGTTTAAATATTATATTAATGTTAAGATAGCCTATACACTTATACTAAATTTTTAGGCTTTTTAATAATATTTTTAAAGTTATAAAGTGTGGTAGCAGATTGCACCGTATGCAAATGAAAAAAGTCTTGATTTTTAAGTAAGCCGCAGAGCGGCTAAAATATCTTTATGTTATATAATAGGGCGGTAATACGGGGTAAAACCTATATACCCGGGATATGGCCTATATGTGGCTATATATTCCCCCTGTTAAAAAGCATAGTATATATAAAAAAAAAGCTAACTGCTAACTTGGAGCTAAGCTTAATAAATAAAAAATATAATATTATAAAATAAAAGTTAATAAAAAAAACTTTTTAATAAAGTAAAGCTTGATATAAACTAAAAACTAAAAAATTAAAAAAAAATAAATATTATTAAGCAGCTAGTAACCGGAGTTAAGCTTAATAAAAAAATATAAAATAATATTAAAAAGGCGTAATAGTATTAAAAAGTGTAAAAAAATAGGGTATTATAGCATTTAAAGTAATTATAAAATAGTTATTAAAGTATAGTACAAGTATAAATAAAAGTAAAATAAAGTAAAAATAGGGTATTACCTAAAATAAATAGCCTTTAAAGTATAGTATAAAAAGGCTAGCTATAAACTAGCTTATTTTTTTTTTATATTTAAAATAAGCGGCAAAGTGCTTATATATAATTTATACCTTTATATTATAAAACACTAAATTAAAAATCTTACTTTATATATTTTTTAAATAATTAGTATAAAATATTTTTAAGGCTATAAAAAGCTTTGCTATATTACTAGTAAATATTATCTTAAATAAATATTTAGGCATGTTTTTAACATGGTTAATAATTACTTTAAAAGCCTATTTTTAAAAATAACTAGCCTTAATATTTTTTTATATAAAATTTAAATAGTGTTTTTTATATAGGCCGCGCAGGGTAATTAAATAATAATTTAATTTTA